TATTAAGTAAAGTCCTTAGCTTAGCTTTTTTTTAAGTGTTGGCAGTAGAGTCTATTAGTTACTTTTAACTTTAATATAGTCTGGTTTTTAACTTGATATATCTATAAGATTTCTATACCTTAACTAATACTTAATATTAAAATTAAATGTTATAAGTTTCTTGATCTATTAAGCCTATCTTTAATTTAGTTTTTTTATGATTATGAAATATTAAAGATTATTATAATCTAAAAAGATAATTATAGGCCTATTATTATCTTCTAGATAGTACCTTTAGTATTTAAAGATTTTAATAATAGTTAATAGCTTTTTATTGTATATTTTGTAGTTAAGTTTAGCTAGGATTATTTTTTAAGAATAGAATATTATTGGATATTATAATTTATTAATTTTTAACTAACTTAAGATTATTACTATAGTGAAGTTTAATGTATTGATTTCTACTCTAAATAAGAGTTTTGGTTTGAAATGCTTAAATATAGATATTTATATGAAGCACTTCTTAAGGATTTTAAAGATATTTTATATCTTTTTGATGAAAATAAATTTTATATTAACTTCTTGTTCTATTTTTAATCTTTTTTGTATTTATTTATGATTTTTAGTTATATTTAATAATAGTGTAGTAATTATAAAGTATCTCTTAATAAATCTATAGTAGAAGTTAGTAAAATCTAAGAATTAAGCTACATCCTGTATATTCTTAGATTTGGGTTATTTCTAAATGGTGGTAATATATTTAGGTTTTATTTAAATATCTTTTATTCTGATTATAAAATCTAGAAAATGTATTTTATTAATTTTAAAAATATATTTTAATAGCTTGATATATAACTTATACTATTATAAGTAGTTTAATATTTTATAAATATTCTTTTTATAGATGGCTTTATTCTTTAAATATATAATAATATTATCTAGATATACTATATAGCTTATATCTAGAAGATTGCTTAGCGCTTAATTCATATATAATTAAAAGATTGCCGGGGCATTTGTTAGTCTAAATAGTATAATAATATATTTATAATACCTATATTAGGTATGAAAAATAGTTTTCTATTTATCTTTTTTCTTAATTTGAATGTAATAATATATATTTTAAAGATTTAGCTATATAAATATTGATACTCTAAAGAGCTAATTTAGGGTTTCTCTAATTAATAGTAAGAGGTATTAATTCTTAATTATAATAGTATTTACTTTTTAGTAGTTAATATATAGCTATAAGTTATTATTTTTCTTAAATATAAATAAGATAAATACTCTAGTAAGACTCTTTAACTTATAAATCTAGTCTTTAATTAGATTTTTTACTAGGTACTTTTAAAATACTTCTTATTCTTTTAATCTTAGCTAATAAATAGAATAATATAGTAATTCTTTACTAGGCTTTAAATTAATAGTATAATTATAGATTATATATTTAAATAATATTACTATCTACTTTTTTAAGAAGATATTAAAATATAATTTTAAATATACTAATAATTCTAAAATATTAATAACTACTAATTATAAAAAATCTTTAATCTTCTTCTTATCTAGATTAGCTTTTTTTATTATAACTTTTCTTAGATTTATAATATAAATAATCTCTTTATTCTCTATAACTTAGTAAAATTTTTAAGTTATAATCTATTTTTTATATAATTTTAGTATATGCTCTATAAATATATTATTTCTATTTTTTACAGAGTCTTATTACTATATAACCTTATAACTTATATAATAGAGTATAAACTTAGCTTTTTATTTAATAAACTAATAATAATATTACTATCTTATAATATAATAAATATTAAGATTTATAACTAAATATTATAGTAATCTAAGTATAATATTATATCTTTTTACATTAATAATATTATAAATCTATTAAGTACTTTCTAGTTTATCTTCTAAATTAAAAGCAATAATATTTAGTAAAATCTTTTTATATATTAATATTAAATACCTATTAATTATCTTTATAATTATAGCTAGATCTATTAGGAGATATATATTTTTTTATACTTATTCTTAGTCTATAAAATTATCTTTAATAGCTTTATTAATCAAGATAAGTGCTTTTATATAGCCTTTTAAGATTTATATATAGATATATATATTAATATATAATCTTTAATTTAATTATATAGTGTATAGCTTTAATATTATAATAATATATTAGATCTTATTAGGAAGTTATTTTAAATCTTTTTTAGATCTTTTATTAGGATTTTTAAAGTAATAATTCTTCTTTATATGCTTTTTTTTACTATAATAGGTATATATTAATAATTTCTAAGTTTTTAACCTATCTCTAGAATTTTTAGTTTTAGATTTCTTCTAGAAATAGTAACCACTATAATAATTATTTTTTTAGTTAGATTTATTACTTTAGTCTAAATTTTAATTTAAAATTTTATTTTTTAAATCTAAATTTAGCTTTATAACTTATTTCTAAGTAGCTTAAAGTTCCTTTTTTTATTCTAGTATAAAATCTTCTATTTTTTAAAAGTATATTATATAGTTATTATACTCTTTAAATTTATTACTTTATTATATAATTTTAATATATATAAATTTTATAATTTAATCTTTAAGATAATATTTCTAATTTTTATTTATATATATTTATTTTAAGAGATATTCTAGTCTTTAGATATAAATATTAAATTTAGATATAATTTAACTTTTTTATTACTATATCTATTAATATTATTTATTTATATTCTAGTATAATAGTTCTAAGACACATATAATATTTATTAGAAAGAATTTAAAGTCTTTTTATATTATATAATTAATCTTTATTTTATCCTTTATAAATATATTTTATTAGTTAAATATTTTCTAGCTTAGCCCTTTAATTATAGTTAGTATTTTTTATTAATTAGTATTTTTAAAGTTATAATAGTAATTATATTTTATAAAATAATATTTAAGTTAGAGTTTAAAGGATTCTAGTTTCTTTATATTAATATTATTATATTTTTTTTTAAGTATTAGCTTTAGCTATTTTAGAAAAATAATTTCTATAAATATTTATAATTTTTTTTAACTTAATAGCTCTTTCTTAGTTATTATTTTAATATTAATTATCTTTTACTCTTTTTTTTTTTTTTTAAATTAAAATAATTTAAATCTTTCTATATATTAAAATTCTATATTAATAAGCTTATTAATAATAAATATAATAGCTGTTGCTTTAGCTTTTTAAGTTTTTAAAGTATAATTTAAATTATAATTCTTTAATATTATATCTTTATAATTTTAATTACTCTAGTTTTAAATTTAATAAATTTATTTATTATTATTATTAGAAGATTTTTCTCTAAATACTCTATTAATAATTTTAATAAAATTATAGATGCTAAAGTCTTATTCTAAGTTTTTATAATTATTAGTTTTATAATTATAATTTTAATATTTATTTTACTAGTTACTACTAAAGATATATTAATTTTATTTTTCTCTTTATTATCTAATTTTATCTTTATAATTTTTATTTTTTTTTTCTTTATTAGAGTCTCTTTAATATCTAAAAGATATTTAACTAGAAGTAATAATTTTTTAGAGGCTTATTTTTAAATATATAAAAAGACATATTTTAGAGCTATTCTAAATAATAATTACTAGGCTCTTATAAAGTAAGTAATTAAATTATAATAGGATTTGTAAGAATATAGCTAGGATTTAGCTTTAGCCTAGAAATTAATTTAAATATATAATATATATATATATATATTTAGCAGCTAATTGCTACTTTATAAAGGCTTAAGACTACCCGCAGTTATAAGACAGTGTATGTTAAGCTGCTAGTCTAATTAGCGGTAAGAAGCTGGGCGAGGTTACGTGCCCGCTGTACTTTGAAGCTATTCCCAACTCCATCCAGGATTCCGCCTTACATTTATAGTTTCCAGATTAAATAAGACTAGATTTTTCTAAATAATTAGAACTATATATAACTTTTACTATAATTATTATTCTTATAATAAAGCCTATCTTATTGAAGTTATAAATATTATTATTAATAATACTATATTTAGCTTTTAACTATTCTAGTTGCTTAAAGAAAGAATAAATAATAACTAGATTCTTATACTGGGCCTTATTATAGATTAATTAATATATAAATCTTATTTTAAGATTAGGTTATTACTTTAAAAAGGATCCTACTTAGTTCTTATCTACTTTATTAGGAATCTAGATAAGATCTCTTATAGTAAGTAAAAGATTTACTATATTATAAAGTATACTAGGTCTAGAGGGATATTCCTAGTATTCTAGAGAGAATATCTAATCTTAAAGCGAGGTCTTCTTAGTAAGGGTTAATTTTCTGTATTTTATACTAGTTTTTTAATATTTGATTAAGCTCTATTATTATTCTAATAATATTGACTTACTAATATTAAAAAGATATACAGCTTCGCGCAAACTATTAATTTGTTTATTTTTTAATGTGTTAATAATAAGAAGAAGTCTTCTCTCATAGCTAGGATTTATTTTTGCATGTTTTTTAGGCATTTTTGATGTTGTAAAGTTCGTGTGAAAATGATGATTTGAAAATCAAGTGGAATTTTTGGTGGGGTGTCCGGTTTACTTGGGTGTCCGGTTTACTCGGGAAATACGTTACTTTAGAAGTGTGACTCATGGTGCGACTGTTACTATTGTGTGCAGAGTTGGCAAATTATGGGTCATAAAAGATCTGCATGTTTTAGGTGATATGTATGCCCTGGGCCGTGAAGTTCACCCCGTACGCGGTGCTGGTCCCGGAATTTACGTCGACTCCTCTGAATGATTTGCTCAGACAGATCGGAGGAGGTACAATGAAAGTGAAGATAGGGGAAGTCTTTCGTCTTGACTAGATTGTATAGATGAGGGCGCTCCTGAAGGAAGAAGTGGTTTTGACCGACTAATACTGTTCATATTTCTTTCATAGCAAATTATTTGACTAGATACAATTGCATATAGCGAAAACATCAATTTTGATGAATCCAAGTATTATACCACTTTCATTCCTTGATTTCAGTCTTATGAAACACATCTGTTGGATATTATTTTCCGTTAGCCTACTTAAAATGGGATCTTTCTCTGACAATTGTACAGACGTAAAGAACAAGACTTACTCGAAATTTCGGGCATCCACGACGCCCTGTTCTTGCAGAAAAATTCCCCCTTGGGAGGTAGAGCCTCAGGATCATCTAGTGAACCTACAACGATGAACCGAAAGTGATCCTTCGCAGCCTCCTATACGTACTCGGGATCAGCACATCGCTTGTTTTGTATTCACCCATGAAGCCTTTCGTTTACATATTTCCATCTACTTAGGGAAAGGCATATTGCTTCGAGGAATTGAATGGAAAATGGGAAGAGGTCAAAACAACTTACACCGTATTCAAGAATAAAACTCCCACAATTGTCGCAAAATTCTCTATTGACCACCATCCCCGATCCATTGTCTGCAGAATGCACCTTTGGTGTCCCTTTGGTAATCTTCACCGTATCCTTTGGCATCTTTGCTGTGAGTCCATAATTCGTTCCGAATGCTTTCTTGCAATTGATGCAGTGGCATAGTGATGTTCGAGCATCGTCTAACGAACTGAGAGAGACTTGATATTTGATATTCTCGCAATAGCACGAGCCTGTCAAAGTCGGCATGGTATCGTTTCGTCCTAAAGTTTTTCCAGCAAGTTGGAAACGATCAAAAAATTATATTTGCTCACCTTGTTTAATTCACTTGTTCGGGATATTATGCTCCCTGACGTCACGGCAAGCTGTTAGGGCTAGGGTTTAGGGCTGGCTGTGGCAAATGTAAAATTCGAATTATTCTGAGACCGCTGTCTTTAACGACAGATTTCAAACTAAGTGAAATTTGCTATCTATAGTATGTATAAAAGTAACATTTTCATGGGCTTATCGTGCTTGATTTAAAGCCCTACGTGCAGTACAAGGAATCAGACGACAAGAACAGAAATGGTAGCAATTCTTGGGTGTCCCCGGAATCACATCAAAAAGCCATGAAAACCGGGATAGAATTTGGTATTTTACTAACATAGATTTAGAGCTCGGAATGTACTCAAGTAGTGCTTCATTATGATCATTCGGTGTCAATACTCAACTCTATCATAGGGACACGTCCAAAATAACAAAACAATCGCACCGCACCAATTGTCATTACTGCTCTGCAGCACGAATATATCCAGCGAAAAAAAAAAACACAAAACAATACAAAACAAAACCTAAAAGAAAAAGGCGATGTAAAATCACACATAGCTTCGCGGTTAGAAGCTGATCAAGTTTAGAATAAGAAAATAAGACGAAATGACATAGTACAAATAAACAGTACTTCTCGTGATGAAATAAACGCCGTACGCCAATGCAATCGAGGAACCGCCGTATTACATAAACTGGCACTCGTGGTATCATGTCGTGAAGAATCCACCAATGGTCGCTGGTTTAGGTTTGTACCTTTGTGACTCGCTTCGCCGTCCCAATATGGGTGTTATGTACTTTGGTGGCGAACTTGAGACTGGTCAAAGTTTCTCCTAGGTGCGCCTGAAGAGGGCTGACCATGACGAACATCAGAGTTTTGGAGTTACCACCCAAGGAGAATTGCAACAGATAGGTAAGCTGGAATATATTTAGCGAAGTGGAAATATGTGAATAATGGAAGTTTTAACTCACCTTGCTGTTCCTATACGGGATATGGCCACCTTCCTTGCCAGAGCCCAAGGCCCCAATAACGTCTCCGAGACAGCTCAAGCTACGATTGATGTTCTGTGTCTCCTTAAGCCGATCTCCTGTCGCGCCACTATGGCTTAGTCGCTCACTACCAGCGAGATCGACAAGGTTCAGAGTACCTTCACACTTTTCTCCTGTGATTGTGTTGTGGCCTAGTAGGCGGAGAATGAAGACAGAATGTGACCTGGAAGATCTTCCGTTTGCTTTTGTGGCTGCGACAGATCTGTTCGAAGCAGCTCGTTTGAGGATCGACTCCACCATCTCCGGAGAATCGAGGGTAACGGTATTGACATCGGTAATTGTAGTTTTGCATTTCTGCATGTCGTGCCTGATTTCATGTTTCTTCTTATCAAAGTCATCGACTTTTCCAAGAAGATCATTCAAGTTTTCATTGTAAACCTCAACAAAATTGCCCTCCATTGTGTACGTCCATCCTTTCTCTTCTAGGCTCTTCGCGGTGTCATAAATCTGATGAACAGCACGCGGGATCATGCCATCTTCCGATGACATAGTGTGTGTCTTACCACTTCCCGTCTGCCCATAGCAGAATATGCAGACGTTGTAGCCATCAAGAGCACTTTGGACGAGTTGGCTGATTTCTTCAAACACGCCAGCATTCTGTGTATTAGGCCCGAAGACGCGATCAAACGAGAAGGCATTGTTTTTCCGAGACACAATACCAAGACTACTTTTCTCTTCTGGGCCCATAACGGCAATCTCTCGACAATCTTCGGCGTCATCTGGAAACGTAATTTGAGCAATGTCGGATTCAGGTTCCGATTCGAGTGGTGGTCGAACACGGCAGAAGACGCGAATATTCCCTTTCAATTCTTGAACCTGATTATGCAGCTTTCGTCGAAGTGTTTCCTCCTTACGCAGCTTTTCCTTTGCGTCATTTGTGTCGCGAAGAGCTTCTTCCAATTGCTGTTGTAGGCGTTCGAATGCCTGGGACTGTTCTTGGCTTCCCGACTCCAAGAACTCAATTCTTGCTTTCAAAGCGCGTATTGATGATTCGAGTGTTACGCTATTGCTGCTAGCCGTATCCAAGTAGCTGCGAAGTTCACGGTTCTTGGACTTTTCTGTTTCCACATCATCTTGCGCAGCGCGCAAGTCTCGCTCAAGGACCTCAATATGTCTGTCCTTATTCGCAATTTCTAGTTGAACCTTTTGCATGTCGAGAGCCTTCTGGGAATTTACTTGATGGATCTCTCGTTGGTATGTACTTCGTTCATCATCAAGTTCTCTTTGATGGCATCGTCGCAAAGTTTCGATTTCGTCACGATGCTGTGAAACGAGGGTTTCCATCTGTTTGCGGCCCTCGAGCCTTGCAGCTTCAGTGTCGATACGCATGCGTTGTTCGTATTCGTCCATGGCAATTTCATGTTCTGTTTCAGCATTTTTCAAAGCTTGCTCCGTGGAGGAAACTTTGTTTTTCAAAGACTCTAATTCAATGCGGAGCGTGCAATTGTTGGTCAACAATTCGTCGCGATTCCTCTCGAGCTCGTCAACTACAGCTGTCAGCGAAAGTCTGCTAGGCAAGGCTCATCATTTGCTTTACCTCGTGATTTGTATAAGTTGACAGCATCTTTCATGGCATCGCTGTTCTGGCCGGCCTGCGACATTTTGCTAAAGAGTACGTCGGCAATGTCTTCGATTTGCTGCTCCCTGGTGTCATGATCCCAGGCTTTTAAATGGGAAGATTTTGTTAGAAACGGTACTATAGTAGGGGGTGCTTTTTGAGGTGACTTGGGTTTGCGAAGAGACGGGGAATGTGAGATCAGAGAAGTTGGCATTGACTGGCGCAGGGGCGTCTTTGTTGCGGTAGAGCGTGAAGGAATCTTGCGCACTCTCCTCGCGAAGGACACTTGATCATTGGGGCAATCCAAAAGGGATAGCTCGCTCATAAGGGTACTCAATGACGAGTCTCTCCGTCTAGTAGGGAGACCATCAGGGGTGTGGGAGGAGTGTGGTGACGGGGTCCAGTTCATTGTGCAATTGAGGTACTTGTCATACGATCCAGGGGTAACTTGAAAAGTTCTTGGGGAATTTTGCGTACCCTTTCGTTTGCCCAGCACACTATTCGGTGATTCCTCCTCATGGGTCTCTAGTGACGTATGTGGTCGTGCGATGGAAGAGGCGCCTTGCTTCCGTTGGGTCATTGATGTTTGTGGTCTTGCTCCAACTGTTCGCTGGCCGGATCCGATGGTTTGGGAGAATGATGAGGTCGAGGTAGTTCTGGATTGTGTCGTTCTGGAGGAGACAGATGAAGAGAAGGAATTTGTTCGGGCGTGAGGTCGTGCGGCGCCATTGGGGATTCTCGAGGTCGAAGAAGAGGGGTGATGGGAGGCATTGGTTGTGGTCGGAGCTTCTGTGAGATCAGTTAGAGACACATCATAAGTAGTAAGATGGTTACGAGGCGAACTTGATATTGTTGAAGGTTTCATCCCACTCGTAGCGAAGCCCGGAGGCTTTAGCCCAGATCGAGAATTCGCTTTGGCGGAGTTCATCTCAGTCAAACCAGTCTGAGGGATTCGCGATTTATTGACGGCGCGATAATCCATCTGTGTTCCCTCTGCTGTTAGTTATGGCCGCACCCAGGAGTGTTTGTTGGTCGCATACATTGACAAAATTCTCATCCATCCGTGCTTTGGGAAGGACACCACCACTGCGCGGGGGAATTTGGAGAGCGATTGTGTCAAACGAATCCGAATAAAATTCACAACAGTGGCATTCCAGGGGCCAAATAAGTGGGCGTCGTCCCTCCAGCTGCGCAAGTCGCAGGAAGATGCCAGCGTCCGAGGTTGATATGTGCTTGTTATTGTCCGTGGCAGTTACCCGGCGAGACATGTAAACAAACTTAGTCAGCAACACAAGCTTGTCTCGGCCTTGGCGCCTTGGGCGGGGCATCCGTTTTGACTAGTCCCCTTTCGGACTCCCTCCTGGCCGCCACGTGATGCTGCGTAGACAAGCGAGCGCAGAACAATTTCCTCTGTAATCCTGATTAATTATATGGAGAGTTAGAGAAATCCTACGCACTATCCGCACAGCCCGAGACCGACGTTTCAACTCAGCCATTGGCGTGGTGAGATAGTCGCGTTGGGACCCGTTCGTGGCACAGTGCGCCCCTGGAGTTTATCTATCTGCGGCGAGGCTCGGCTTTCCCTTGCTACATAGTTCTACACCTACTCTGCTTTTCTCTCAACATCCCCCGAATTACAATTCAAAGTCGGTCCCGGTGACCTGTCTCGCTTCTTTCGCTCGATTACTTTTGCTGCGCAATCATGTCTGGTCGCTTTGTCCGCTCGTCGAAATATCGTAAGTCGTGTGTGCTTGTTCTTCCCCGTCCCGCGCTACGGAAGCTGACTGCCTGGGGGTGATCAGGACACGTTTTTGGCCAACCTACAAGACGAGTACGCCTGCACTCGGCAGATTCATGCGGATAACTTGAGACGATCGCTCATCTTTGAGGAATAGGAACAATGTTATGATAATTTGCGCGTATCCCGCAATGCGTGGGATACCAATCTGCTGAAGGTGCGACAACAAGTGGCAATCTCGCACTCGCCTCTGTCGCTAACCCCAAGTAGGCCAACCCCGAATATCTAGCTGTCAATTGGGAGGCCGGTGGCGGCGGTGCGTTCGCAGTCATCCCTCTTGAAGAGCGAGGAAAACTTCCTGAGAAAATTCCCTTGTTCCGCGGCCACACTGCAGCGGTGCTCGATACCGATTGGTAGGCGATTGCTTGCAACAAGCAATTTATAGCATGCTCCAAAAACTCATTTTATGATTAGGAATCCCTTCAATGATTCTTTGATTGCATCCGGTTCCGATGACGGCAAGGTAGGCTTGCTTGTGTCCCGCCATTCAGTGATTTGCATGCTAATATAGTAGATCTTCCTTTGGCGTGTGCCGGACAACTTCACCATTCGTCCCGATGTTGATTCCGACGAAATTCAGGATGTCGCGCCTGTTGGAAAGCTAAGCGGCCACCCGAAGTTAGTAAATGCAAGTTGGTTGCAATGCATTGGTGATAATTGACAGTCCCTGCAGGAAAGTTGGACACGTCTTATTCAACCCCGCAGCCGAGAACGTGCTCGCGACAGCCTCTGGTGATTTCACGATAAAGATTTGGGATATTGAAGCCGGTGCTTCGAAATATACTCTCAAGTTGGGTGATGTTGTGCAATCTCAGTCATGGAGTGCCAATGGATCTCTTCTGGTCACAACGTCCCGTGACAAGAAGCTGCGGTTGTGGGATGTTCGCCAAGAGCGCCCTGCTCATGAGACTGCTGGACATTCTGGAGCCAAGAACAGTCGAGCTGTGTGGATGGGCGAACACGACCGGATCGTCACCACCGGTTTTTCTAAGATGAGTGATCGTCAGCTCGCTCTATGGGACGTCCGAGCGGTACGTGAGCCCATCAACGGATTCAAGACGCTCGACTCGATATCGGGTGTATGTGTTCCGTTCTGGGACGAGGGCACTCAATGCCTCTATTTGGCGGGTAAAGGGTAAGTCTCCTGATCCGTTCTACTTTCACTTTTTTCACCCACTTTGGTCTATATATATGCTATATCACGTTACTGACTAGCGTAGCGACGGTAACATTCGCTACTTTGAGTATGAGAACGACAAATTCGAGTTTCTTTCTGAGTATAAATCTGGCGATCCTCAGCGTGGGCTTGCTTTCATGCCCAAACGCGGTGTTAACATCCACCAGAACGAAGTGGTCCGAATCTACAAATCGGTCTCAGATTCATACATCGAGCCGATATCTTTCATTGTCCCCCGTCGTTCTGAAGTGTTCCAAGACGATATCTATCCTCCTACGACTGGTCTGAAGCCTGCTATGAGCTCCGCTGATTGGCAAGACGGCAAAGAGGCTATTCCTCCCAAGATCTCTCTGGAGAGTCTCTACAATGGCACCGGTCTGAAAGAGGTGACTCCAACTCAAGACAAGCCAACAGCTACGGTGACCGCAGCAGCGCCGAAACCCGCTGAACCTGTTAAGGCAGCAGTCCCAGAGCCCGTCCGTGCTGAGCCTACTCCTGTTGTGCGACCTGCACCTTCCATGAAAGAACAAGGTGCCTCCATGGCCGCGATGATTGACAAATTCGCAGACGATGACAAGGAAGAGGAAGTTGACGACACATCTAGCTTTGAAGAGATTACTAAGCCTGTAGAACGGGTGGCAGCTCCGCCAACTGTTAAAGTAGTGCCACCTCCAGCTAAAGATAACGAAGCCACGACACCTGTAGCTTCAACGCCATCTACTTTTACCCCTACAACGACGGTCGAGAAATCCCCAGTTCCTTCCAGCACCGTGCAAGATGACATTGCTGAAATCAAGGCATTAATCGCGCAGCAAACCAAGACCATTGCATCTCAGGCCGAACAAATGCAAACCCTTACCGCGGAGATAGAGTCGTTGAAATCCAAGCTCGACAACTAGGCTTTCAATGGGGTTTTTTTTTCTATTTTATATCTGCGAGGTATTACACCGTGTAAAGTACTTGTTGGTCTTGATATTCTTTCCCTTGAATTTGCGAGATTCGTGAGAGCCAAAACTCAGGGTGGGAATTCTTTGCGGAGAGGAGTAGATTTTCCTTTTATTTGTTTTTTGTCACAAATTCATCTCTGCTGGAATCATTCTTCTTTCGTTCTTGTTGAAAGCAAGCGTTCTTTTGGGTGTGGAAACCAAAACATGTACTACGCCCAACCAACATATTGATTTTTTTGGTATGAAAAGAATTCAAAAGCTCCTGACTAATCTTTGAGAGGCATAACTACCGTTGTATATCTGCCTTCTTAGGTGCTAGCTAGGTAATTGTTTAGGCGCCCGAAACGGGAAAGGATAGCCCTAATCAAACGTCTGATTGACATCTGACTCCAAATCATCAGGCTATGTAATGCTTCTCAGTCAGGCCCAGGCCCCAGACAACATCGGCATTGAGCTGTCGCAAGCGAAAAGAAATATGCTGGGCATCGTACGTTTATTGGCCCAACAGTCAGGCTCTGGCGAACACCGCCCGCGCCGTCAGGGCCAGTCGCAGTGCGAATGTCGCTCTTAGTGCCAGACAAAGGGGCAGTGCTCGCCAACATGGATATTCATATGAAATACTCCGTTTCCTCAATGGACTTGATTGACTTCGGATGAAAGTGGCACGCGTATTGCTTATTTGGCTACTTGTCAAACCATTTCCCCGTCGTTTGTATAGTCATTCATTCCTTGACTCACGCCGCTCGACTCATATGATCAATATTCGACGAAGAAAGAAAACAGTTAATCCAAACATCGCTTAAATATCAGCCTGCGTACTAGATGGATGTTCACTTGCGTTCGCGATAGCTCGATATCGACGAAGCAGCCTAAGACATGGAACATATGGATATTCCCAAGACGCTGCCACCTCCATACCAGAGTCTACCTCCAACACCAGCGCTCTCGACAGCATCAGTCCATGCCCCTGATCAGGCTTTAGACTATCAGGATATCAGCTTTCCTTCAGTAAACCCCTCACATCATCAAACTGCACCCGGGGCGGGACATTACGCACCACATACATGCACGTATGCATATGGTAACTCCTACCACGCATATCCACGGCATCATGCATTCCCCCTGAATCTGCTTCATCGACCTGGAATTCGACGATGCGGTCGTCCCATTACATACTATCAACCAGCATGGCCTGTGTATTATGCACACACTGGCCGGGAACCAGCCTTAGCTGCTGCGCCATTCGTTACCCCTCCTCCACTACAACAACAGCAACATAGGAAGCAATCATATTTGCAACTCGGATCACTCTCAGCCACATTAAATGATGCTGGGAATCTTGCAGTTGAAGCGTATGATGCACTAGTGTACTCTTCATCAACAAGCAGACAATACAGAGGCGTGATGGATGCAGTTGCTCTGAGATTAGATGATGTTCTCACATCAATAGATGATGGGACGTATCGAGCCAGACCTACCGATATAGGTAAGTAGATTCGAATTGAATGAATGAAAGTAGTAACTATCTAATATAATATGGCAGCAATGTCGGAAAGCCATGCAATCTTTGCAAACTCAGATGCCACGGCGTCAGTAGGGAGTCTCGCGTCACCACAGGCATCGTTGCCAGAGGGCAGCCATAAACATCTAAAGGGAAAGACTCACAGATGTCGCACCTCATCATCGTCGGCGTCAACGACTAAAGTCAATGTAGCTGCCGAACGTGTACCGGATCCTTTCTCCAAAGCCTACCAGTATGCCAACGCCTACACTTCTTCCGCACTTCCTCCCCTGAAACTGTATACTGCAACCTGGCCACTTATCTGTCTTGCATCGACATATTCTCGTCGAGCCTATGAAAAGCCTTCTAGCAAAGAACGACAGAATTATATTTCGGGAGACTGGAGACGCGGCACTAAAGCCGTTGTGATCAAATCAGTGCCCCTTGACGAAAAAAATACAATCGTACTTGCTATTCGGGGGACGCAGAATTTCCAAGACTGGACTGTTAATATCCGAACTGAACCAACTGCACCCACGGACTTCCTCGACGATGAGGGTAATCTGTGCCATGCCGGCTTCCTGAGTGTCGCGCGGAAGATGATCAAACCGGCTGCGGAACATTTGCAGGACTTGTTGCGAGAAAATCCACGACGGACAAGCTGCTCGTTAGTTATCACAGGGCATAGCGCCGGTGGCGCAGTTGCTGCGCTGCTGTACTGCCATATGGTGTCGCGGACGGTGGCGAGTGAGTTGACGCATTTAAAGGATTTATTCAAGAGGATTCATTGCGTGACATTTGGCGCACCACCGATCTCATTGCTGCCCTTAACAAAGCCAGATAGCAAGCTACGAGATACCAGAAGCCTTTTCTTCGGGTTCATTAATGAGGGTGATCCAGTAGCTAGAGCTGACAAGGCATATGTGAAGAGTCTTCTAGAACTATATGCACGGTCAGCGCCAGCAAGCGGTTCTCCAGTCAAGCCCCATACCTCATCTTCATCAATAAATAACATCAAAAGCACAGTCAAACCAATATGGAAAGTCCCCGAAGCGACTCTTTCTTTAGCAGGACGAATTATAGTGCTGCGAGCCCGGAAACACACCTCCTTCAATCGACCATCCAGTCATTCAGGATCGTCCACGAAAGGAAAAGAGAAAGACAACCGGAACAAACAATCAGCATATTCTCCGTCAACAACCATAGAGGCAGTCACTGCTTCTGACGCAGAGCTTAGAGGGCTAATCTTTGGTGATCCTCTGATGCATACAATGGATCTATATGTACGACGTATCGAACATTTGGCGACGAAAGCCGTTGTTGGGCCGACACTTCCATAGGATCGACTCTGATTTTTGGTCTTGTATTATTTCTATCCTGGTTTTGGCAGCTATGTGATTGTCTAGATATGAGGTCCACGTGGAGTCTACTTTTAGTGATGTACGAGGATGGATGAATTAATCGAGATATACCTATGATATCAGCTTCAAGGTCTCTGGTTATAGTACTTATCTGGAGGAACACCATACAAGTATAGAATGTAAACGCTTGAGCTAAAAAGCAAAGAAAATTGATAAAGGCGTTTGTAGGTGTCTATATGGATCCATAGAGACTTTGCACCTTCTGACATATATTATTATCGTTTGCAATAACCATGCTGAGCGCTCTTAACTAAGGGATAGGATGGTCCCATCTAGGATATTGTTCGATCCTATCCTTTAGACCCTTATCGATCACAATCCACAGAATCCAAATTCTTGACTGACGTAACCTGAGTTGCTAGGCATTGTTCCTCGCAAGCTCACTGGGTTACTGTAGTTTGTCGTCAAAACCGCTGAACTGAGTATCTGATCCTAATGAGCAGATATGGGTAAAGATATGGCTGAACCACTACTATGGAGTGGTTTTGAGATATCGTTCAATGTCCTCCATACGCTATGCTAATAGCACACAAATTCATAGGATCCGATTCGTAAAATGCTATTTCTACTTTCAAGAATATTATCTATATAATAATATGGATGCTACAAAATAGCCGTCAAAATGTCGTAATATATATATCTAGTGTCTATTAACTTTTCAAATCATCGAAGCCTTTGCTGTCTCGCCCACATGTTCACAAAGTCCTGCTTCTCCTTCACCCCTAAACCGACTCTCTTAACCCTCCCCAGACGTGCCAACGACTCGCCAACGTAGTCGAGCACATCTATCTCATGTCTCGTCAAGTCCGAAGTTTTATTTTTGTCTACATTCTCCACAAGGAATGAAGCTGGTTCCTGATCCTCATCCTCGTCAAAAAAGTCTGTGCTGGTGTTGCTATGACTCCGTGACGATGGAGACAGACTCTTCGTCGTGACGTATTCGGCGACGCGAACGCGGATAAAATGAGTTGGCTTGCTGAGCAGATTCCACAGGAAAGTCAAGTAACTGCCAGGCACAGGGGTAGTCACGTCTGCTTCGGTGTACCGTAAGCTCACCGGATAGATCTTCGTGCGTGGCGGTACAGATACGAGAGATTTGCTGAGTGGAAGGATACCACGACCATTGGTCGTTGTGCATTCAGCGAAGACGACGACGGGTCTGGATCGATATTTCTGGATGAGGTCGGAAAGATCAACCAGCCGTGCATTTGGTGGTGGTGTGACATAGGGATATGCGAATGACCGCAGTATAGCTTGCAGAAGTGATAAACGCTCAACCTTGCGCGTATTAGGATATGATGCGGTGAACACGGGGTCAAAAATCGCGGCGAGATATACTGGGTCGATAGGCGAGGTGAAGGAAGATGCAATGATGCAGTTGGCAACGGGAAGGCGGGATCGTTGGCTGGCAAGGCGTCTGTGTAATTCAATCGTCAGTATGCCTCCTTTGGTTCATTAGCGGACATATTGGTGGAAAGCTAACCCTCTCTTGACGCCGTCAACCTGCAAATCAATCCACCATAGGCTCGGCACGCCGAGTATACACCATAAAGATGCCTTCTTCCCAAGGGAACCAATTGGTAACCATTGCAAAACAACGAAGTAACTCAGGCACACGAATATAAGAAGTGGAAGACGGAAGCAAAATAGGAAGACATGTAGCGGAAGCGCATAGCCCGACCGTGGAGTAGGAATGGGCAGGAAAGGAGCTATGCCGGAACCTGGTAGGTCGTGAATCACCACTGTTAGAATGTTTTTGTACAACGCCACCAAATATGTCAGTGTGCTAGGACATACCTCGATCTCGAAACTGGGAAAATTTCTCCATTTGTGCGCTACTGCAACACTACTTTTCCATGCGACGGGGATATGATCAAGGCAATACAAACAAATTCCTAGATCCGACAGATGCGCAAAAGTTGCAAAAAGAGTTGCATGTCGTATCTGTCGTCAGCCGAGATAGATATCAGTGCGGAGCTGCAACAAGTTGATCGCTATTCAAGACTAGCAGGGAATATAAGCAGGCTAATAAAATCCAAGCTGCAGAATGCTAACAGGGGAGTTGGACTTTCTTCCAAAATTGTTCGGCGAAGCATGTGAAATCCGTGGCATCCGCGCACGTGACTCCGCTGCTTGATTCGGGGATGCCTCAGCTCTCAGGCCTACATTTTACACTTTTTGACACAATCAAAATAATTCAATGCCAACAACTGCATCGATGGAGCTTCTCCTATATCAACAGAGGCCTAATCCCAGCTATTCATTCTCCCCATACACTTTGAACCGTGTCGCCGACCTGATGATCCCATTGCTCGAGTGGGCGCTCTTCACTCTCCAGCACTTTCTTCCATATGAGACTTAGATCTCGACACTGGTGCCAAGTTCCAACGCCATCAACATTATAGTTCTTAAATGTGCCATTTTGGTAGTAATGAAAATGCGGAGCTTCCAGCGTTCCATCAGCCGCACACGCTATGGACTGTATGCGGGGAATCAGCAACGAGCTTATATTTTTCTGGTGACTCGATATTATGATCAATCTTACCTGCGCAAGGTACGCAAAGCAATGCTTGTAATGTGTACTCGCATTGACAAAAGCACCTGCTCCCTCATGGCTGTGCTCATGACGCTGATTATGTCGTTGTTCCCTATCGGATTGATTGAGCTGGCCCTCCAGGTCCCGAATCGTGTCCCATAGCATTTGCAAGCAATGCAGGCCATGAAACATGCCTATGCCCCATGGCTCCGAGGATGATGTCGTTTCATTCGAGGTCAGAAATAAATAGCCGCCGCTGGGAGGGAAGAGTTTATCCCAGGCTTCATCGCCTTCGTGATTCAAATCTTCTAATTCGTTGATCTCATGGAAGAGTATTCCACGCCGGTTGTCATGGTGTTGGATATCGAGCAGTTCTTCGATGGTCATACCGTCGATACGCTGCTGTCCTTCCTGTTCATTGTCATTGTCAAACCCATAGCCTGTAACAATTTTCTGGGAGGCCATGGAGAAGAAGCTACAACTTCTTGGTGACAGGACAGAAAGGTAAATATCAACGGTCAACAGCAAGATCAAGACGCTAAGCATGCCAGCAAGTAGTGCATGATGTCTTGAGCTGCTGGTATTCGCTTTGTAGCCCATTGTGATATTTGCTTGTCAAACCAAAATTCAAAGTCCAAAATGTTAACCGAGACGAAAGACGTAAACCAGGCCAGATTTTGGATACATTTGTTAGAAGATGAAAAATGTAGGACGATTACGAGTCTCCGCTAAAAAAATGCTTTCAATCCTTTGTTTCATTGTCTGGTCAATGCTAGTGCACTATATTTCCACATCTGCTGAGGTGCCTAAACGAAAGACCTTACTGTTCTTATGTTTCAAGAGATTTTCTAATTATTATCTTCCTATGCATCTCTACAAATCCCTGAACAATCAGATCCTATTATATGTCATGCATGACTGCATTACTCTTATCTAGCTCCAAGCCAGGTAGCACCATAAACTTCGCCAGAAGTCTCTCATATCCTTGGTGCCATTCACAGACCCCATAATAAAATCATTTCCTCTCGATTAAAAGCACCCGCAAGATTATAATGCCTCAGATGAAGAAGACTAAGCAGACTCCGTTTTAGCTTCTTCGGCGTCAACCTTGCCCGCACTAGGAATGTAAAATTTGACGAGAGTGTTGCGCTTAGTGAGGGCTCCATCAGCCTCCTCACTATCGGCTTCTCCCACGCCAGGAATGTAGAACTTGACGAGTGTATTTGGATCACGCTTAGCAAGTGCCTCGGCATCCTCGCTGTTCACTTCGCCGACACCAGGGATATAAAATTTGACGAGCATGTTGGGGTCACGTTTGGCAAGAGCTTCGGCCTCACCATCAACTTCACCCACACCGGGGATATAAAACTTAACGAGACTGTTGCGCTTGGTAAGGGCTTCAGCATCCGCGGCATCAGTTTTGCCCACACCGGGAATGTAGAACTTGACAAGAGAATTGGGTTCGCGCTTGAGTTGATCAACTAGAATACAATGGATATTGTGAGTTTCTTTCTCCTCTGTGATTTTCAATTGTCGCATTGAGGTCAAGGCTACGTACCAGTGTTGGCAGGTAGGGCAATCACGCTGGCCACTAGAAGGGCAGCAATCAGAGTCTTGAAGATCATCGTGTAGTGTGGAAGTAACTGTAGAAGCAGTTGATAGACGATGATTGGGCTTTAGGCTGAAGAACAAGTAAAAGTAATCTTGTGCCTGGAACCTGGGTTTGACTGGAAAGAATTGAAAGTTGTTTGAAAGAGAATAGGACCGATTGATCCATTTTATATACAGGCAGGTGCGGGAAAATGTCGAATGTCCATTGATTCCCGTGAAAGCCCTTCAAAGTCAAAGCATATATGTCTTAGTTGGGCAATTCTGAGAAGGAAGACGGCGAACATGCACCGGCGATCTATGAAGGCCAGACGCTCCATTTCGTAGTACCACATGCCATATTCGCAAATAAAACTTGGCTAATTGCGCAATGTCAATGTCAAAGGTCATAATCTGCCCGTCAGCATCTCCGATCATTGCCTATAAGAATCCCGGAGTTCAGACCTAGATTATTAGGAACATATAGCTCACGGACTATTTGTAATTGATGAAAGAATCGACATTCGAACGTCAGTGTGTATGAATTAGTTGTAATATGCAAGAATTCACATGACTTCAGAAACATGTGAGTGGTTGTGCATCAATGCTAGCTTTAAGGAGTGGTACAGAACTTACACACATGTAGCATGATTGATTTAGTATGCATCCGACAGTTCAAAAATGTCCGCACACGAGCTTTTTAAAGAGTTCTTTGTTTATATCAGCAAAGATGTGGTCAGAAGCTCGTCTACCGAGGCGAGCTGGCCTTATTCTTTGTTTGGTTTGAACTCCGACAATCCGAATGTATATATCAACACCACAATAATTGAAGTCATCTGCATACAATGAATTGTAAACACAGGCTATGATCTCTGCCGGCTGTGTCCGCGAAGCCTAAATCAGATATCCACCGATTTTTGCGGTGTACCGACTAAAACCTAGGTTAATGAACGGTGATTTCATGTGCTTGAGACCATTTTCTCTAGGCCACCAATTCGAACCTCTTGTATACTACCCTTCGTATTCTCGTCTTCTCACCTAGAAGAATCGTTGATTTGTGCTCTCATCAAGATGCTGTTAGGAAATATTTTCACGCACCAGTATGATCAAGTATCAGACACTCCAGCTTCTCTTTCCAAACCGGAAGAGGAGGACGAAGAGAGCCGATTTTTGGAAAAGAAAAATTACCAGAACTCTTCCATGACAAGAAGAAAGATAAGCTCCGCAATAATCAAGCAAAGCGTTCTCATTTCAACATGGTTGACCATCGTATGCATCGTACTGGCTACAATCATGACGATCATCCTCCGCGAAAAGCGCGACTCTACTATTGACGATATGTGCTTCGAACATTCAACATTCTACAGTAAGTTTCAAAAGAAGCATCAAAGCCTCGGGCCTTGCTAAATTCGTTCCATCTAGGTCCTGTTGCTAAGGATATCGATACCACTCCTCGCCTGGTTACCACCAATGGAAGTCTGGACTGGCCTTCTGTATATCGCCAGCCTCCGGGCCAAGATGTGGACGATGCGTGGAATAAAATATCGTATAATAGTAAGTAATACTGCTGTCGTCTTCTTAGCGCTCATTCTTATCTGTTTAGTGGGCGTGTTTTCACTACCTGAAGAGATTGCCCTAAAAGCCGGTCTTGATCGAGGCGATGTCCGCATTCCCGCCGGCTACGAAGGGAGTGGCGAGTACATGGCATCACTGGAGTTGACCCATCAGCTTCATTGTGTGGTGTGTAATTCCCCCTTTTCTGTGCCTCGCTAGATAAAAAGTGAGAAGAAAATAGCCCTAACCCACGACATACTTTTTCCGCAGAACTTCCTCCGCAAAGCCGTCTGGTTCAATTACCCGCATTACAAAAACCACGGCGACGAATTCCAAGACCCACAACATGTCCTGGAAATGCATCTATATCACTGTCTCGAAACCGTGCGGCAGGTCATTATGTGCAACGCTGATCCTGGCATAGTCGGCTACAAGTACGTGCGAGGTCGCGAGAAGAGGCCTTATCCGGACTTCAACACGCCGCATAAGTGCCGCGATTGGAGGGGGATGATTGACTGGGCTTATGAACGTAGTATTCCGGGACATCCTGAAGAATCGGACTTTGTGCCTGGGGAGGGTGAGACTGTCTATGATGCGGATCCTTAATTGGGCTGTTTTTCGTCACACTGTCCTTCAACGCTGTAGATGGATGAATAGGTAAAACACGATGTAAATTGAGAAAATGATGGCTGAAGCTGGTTTGATTGCATAACTTAAAACTAGGCATTGCTGAAATGTTCGCGTAGACCACGTCGACCATTTCTTTGTTTTCGTTATCATATTGCTGACGCCGTAAGCGAGGTAGTACAGGTACAATGCATGCAGTTTCATTGAGATGTGAAATCGTAAGTTTTCATGGCAGGCATGTCTGGACTATGATGGATTGTGCGGCCCGGAGAATATTCAATTTGCAAGGAAGAAAATCTTTGTTTCCTTTGAAACTGATCAGAAAGATATGCACAGCATGTCGAAGTCATAAAAAATATGTGACGAATGTTTAGGTGTTCTGATTGTTCCAGCCAAACAGTAAAGTTTGTCAACTTTTAATTCGGTCAAAAATGCACGTGACAAATAACGTCCAAAATAAAATATATTTCACAGAATCAAAATGTCCATAAGAAGTAACCCGCCTACCAAATACGTCCCAAGTCTATTGAAAATGCACCCACCTAAAGAAATAATACAAAACTTGCCATGGCAGCAACAAGACCAAGGACCGAGAAGCTCGCCCTGCTAGCTGCGCCCGTGTAAGCGGGGCTGACTGCGCTCGTAGTCATACTGCCGCTACCAGTTAATGATCCAGACGGTTTGGAAACGGATGGGACAGTGACAGAGGAGAGTGCTGTCGGTACACGAATGCTAGCCGTAGCTGGAACAGGCACTGTAACACTAGAAAACTTTGAGCTGAAGCCAGTCCCGCGCAAGCTAGGAGAGATAGTACTAGGGGAGACAGTAGCTGAGGTGGAAACAGCGACCAGCGTCGGAAAAGGCTCAAGGGTTCCAGTGGGGCTTGGGGTGGTTGTAGAAGATTCAATAGGAACAACAACGACAACCGTCGATGGACTGGGGCCACAACCAGTCGCGCAGAACTTTGAAGAGGTTGTAAAGGCAGGGGAGACGCCAATTGTGGAAGACTCCGCCGGACAATACGTGACGGTTTTAGTGATAGTCTTCGTGGTATAGCCGGACGGGCAAATGTCAACATAAGATGTAACAGCGAGCGTAGTTGTGGTCAACTTGGATGATGAAGCGTTGACTGCATTGACTGATGGGCTCACGCGAGCAGAAGTGAGTGGCACAATGCTCTTGGAAGAAAATGCAGCACTGGGAGTAGCACTAGGAGTGATAATAGGAGTAATAGTAGAAGTGATCGTGATAGTGCTTTTAGAGGAAGAGCAGGGAGTGTTTGTTGGCGAAGCGATCACATCGGTTGCACCGACCGCACCAACCGCACTGGCCGCGAGAACGGCGGGGCTGCTAAAAGAGGCAGGGCGAGAGGGTGAGGGTGAGGGTGACTTGATAGGGCTGACTGAAGTCGAATCGGCCTTGCTTGGTGTACTAGTAGCAATGGCGCGGGTAGAACTGGAAGAAGTGGTAGAACTGATAGCAGCCGAGGATGAGGTCGGCGAAGAAGTGCCACTGGCTTGTTCGTAGAGCTTGATAGACGCAATTTCCCAATAAGCTTCGGTGAAAGCGGATGGGTTAGCGCCTACGTAGGCCTCACAGCTGGCAGTGGCATCGCTGGGGTTGCTCAGCGGGCATCCAGATGAGCCAAAGTCCTCGCCAGCCCAGTAACCACAGAAATCAATGTTGAAAACAATCGACTGGGCCTTGAAATCACTTTCAAAGTCACAGGAGCCCTGGAAGTTGGCCATTGGGGTACCGAAAGTGCTGGGATCAGGGTTGCCAGAGGTAATAGAGTCCGGAATGCTAGAACGCGGGAAGAACCAAACCATGATGTGCTGGGACGTCCATTCCATCGCATACACACCGCCACCCAGGGTGTTGAAGGCGTCTCCGAAGCTCCCTTCTGTTCCTTCAAATTGGCAGCCAGTCGAACTACCATTTTCTGAACACTCAGTGGAGTAAAGATAGCCTGTGTGGTCAGTGTTTTTCGAGATGGAGCACTGGGCTTCGGTGTGGAGAGTCATGGAATTGGCGGTTTGGTTGCTGACACCCTCAATGATATCGATCTCGCCGTTGTCGGGCCAGTTCTCGCCAAATGTCCAGAAAGCCGGCCAAACACCGCATGCATTGCCAGGCATGTGAGCCAAGTCGGCTATCAGAAGGCCCTGGGTGAATTGAAAATTGGACTCGACCCGAGTCGACGGACGGCCGCCGGTAGAGTAGGTGTTCGTAGAGTCGGCTCCTAGATAGACATTTCCTGACTTGACAGTTGCCAGGCCAGCGTCATGGGCGGCCTCGTAATCCAAATACTGGACAAATCTACATGGCAGTTAGTATTTTATTTCCGACACGACGGCCACTAATGTGACATACCCAGCGGTAGGATCGGTGTCTGAGTAGAAAGAGAAATTCTGGAAAAAGTTGGATTCGTCAAAGTTGTGGAGCAGGCTGTAGGAGGTTGCAACCGCCGGTGTTGCAACCAAAGCCAGTGTTGCTGTCGCCACGCTGATGAGGGACGACGGCATGGTGGATTGAATAACAGAGCGGTCCTGCGGTCTGCGATAAGCCTCCCACGATGAGTCAAAGAATGGAAACCACGACAGAGGCAATACGTTCTACTACGTATTGCGTCTGAACAGCGGGGGATTTCTGAAAAATAAAAAGGAACGTGGGTAGAGTTGAACACAAGTCACACTGGCCCAAAGAACGGAATAGTCAATTGTTGTTATTTGATCGGAATGCTGTATGTAGGCCTGAACGAGCAGAAAGGAATGGCTGCTGACAGGGAACAAATGACTGTCGACAAGCGGTATGTCGGAGACGAATGAAGGAAACAAGAAGAAACGAAGCAAACAACAGGCGCCCAGCGTGTGTGTTAAATGAAGAAAAGACTGAAAGACCGAAGAGACCGGAAGACTGAACAGAGAAGAGACTCATGCTGGAGGAAAAAGCCCCTCAGCCCGCTTGTCGCCTAATACTCCCAGCGTTTGCACTGGCCGTGGGCCCGTCAGCCTTCGTGCGGTGCGAATCATCGCGGGCGAAAGTGTGTTTCGTGTTTAGCGATGCGAAGATGCAGTGATTGCCGACTGCCGTTTCAGGACGCTGCGTGCTGGGCCAATCAGCGCGCTCAGCTCCCCTGCGCCGCTAAGCCCAGCCCGGCGGCCAGCCAACCACAGCGCGCGCGTGCCTTCCGCCCGAAACAACGGCGCTTTCCCCCCGTCGCTCCTTCCTGCGACAGGGCCAGGCACAGCGTCGCTCCTTCCGTTGTCGTCGCCAACCCCATTCACTCGTTCGTTCCTTCTTCCTTCATTCATTCCATGTACTGCCTCATTCTTTCCCTCCTCATTCTTTTCTGTCCTCTTCCATCATGTCGACCAGTCGAATTGCTCAATAACTGTCAACAACTGAACAACAATAGGCCGCATTCCTAGCAAGCCAGATCGCAACACGTGTGTCTCTCGCCAATCTAGAACTCGCGATCGGCGCCAGATAAGCCTACGCCACGAAGCCATCAGCCAGGGGGGCTTTCCGACAATATTTGTGCCTTGTGTAACTTTGCACACAGAGTCAAAGCCCTCGTCCTCGTTTTCTGCCCTTCCTATTCGCTATTCAGTCAATACCTGCAAGGGACTCGGGGCCGCCGCCAGCCACAAAGCGTACTATTAAATTTGCTCCGATTTGGCTGACATGGGCGTGGAATCAGCAAAAAGTAACGAGCGCCGATGTAATAATATAAGCTCGACAAGTTCCCCCGTCCGATCGGACTAATATCAATAGTCTAACTATCACTCAGTGGTCGGCACCGGACTCCCTTTTTGAGAGAACTGAAAAACATTTTCAAAAAGCAAGTCATCCCCCGTCGTCACAGCTCTATAGTTTTTGCTTCTGCTCGCGTGCAAGTGTTTCATAACGACGGCGAACGTTTAGGACAGCACTATCTTGTTTTTGATCGTCGTTTATTGAGCAGGCCCAATTTGGATGTCGAGAATATGCAATATAAATTACCAGGTGAGTTGGGCTGGCGTTGTGGGCCATTTCTTCGTTGATGGGCAAAGCACCCGAGGAAGCATCCATTTGCGCCGAACAATATAGGTGAGCGTATACTCGGCTAATATATCCAGAAGAAAGAAAAAAGTGAAGAGGATTGAATTGATCATTGCAGATATTCTATACATTGCATCGTCGCATTCATACAGGAACTCAAGTCGAAACACGCCGCCTGTCGGGTATACCATCCCATCATGTCTCAAATGGGTAGTGATTATTCAACCGCTCGGCCCGCGTTTGATATGCCTGTTAGACCTTGGCTCACATCTCCCGGAAGGTCGTCTTCATTCGGCCCTTCATTATACGCATTAGCTGTACGGGGCTGGGTGTGGCGCAACCTATCTCCGTATAAGACGTTTGATTGATCTATCGCTTCTCTTTCGTCTTGTTCTGCAATTAACGGCGGTGATCAGCATCAACATCATTTAAAAGCTTCCAGCTTATGGGCGGAAGCGGTTGAACATACCCAACTGCTCATTGGAGTTTGAGTAAGGTGGCTGGACCGGGTCATCGTAGTCGTCCTCGTCCCTCTGTACTGGCGCGAACTTGGCCAGGTCGCTGTTCGTCTCGCCAACGTATGAATTGTCTATTGGTGTTGAAGGGACGGGAGCGGGATCGTTTTCCGCCTCATAGCGGTCTTCGGCCTCTCTTTCTTCTCTGTTGGACATGGTAACTTCTGCACTTCTATATGTCACAATAGACTCCGCAATAGAAAGAGAATGGGGAAATTTGCAAATACAAAGTAGGGACTATTCGCCTCGATCTGGAGTGTAAATTGCGTCCTTATTTATGCCCACACCTCTTCCGCCAACCGTGGCGTCCGTCTACATCAGATGTGGCGGCGAATGTGCAGCATACTTTGCCTCCTTATGCTGTGAGATGATGTTTTCTGTTTGGACATGATTTGGGATGTGGTCATCCATTGACTTGTGTTGCCCCAGGCACGTCACTTGTCGCCGTCATTAGATATGCATCTAAGTATCTATCCCTAGATCAGCTAGGCATAATTTGGAGTATCTAGATAGGACCAACGTGTTTAATGGCATAGATATGTAAATGAGATTCTGCTGTGAGTGGCTCCATGGCAGTGTCTATGGGGTGTTGCCTCTGACGTACGTACAGAATTATATAGGGTCAACCTTAATTCAACCTCATGTGTGATTCCACCACCTACCTAGACACAATAGCTATACTTCCACAGAAACTGATACTTATGATGGACACACAGAAAAGGACAACGGCGAACTCTTACGACTCCATGACCTCGTTCTTTATTCCTTAAAGCCACTTCGTTCACCATTCGTCATGCCACTGTGGCACATTCGACATGGCCACTTGGCCACCATGCCACTACATCAAGAGCATTAGGGCACCTTTTCAAAATCCGGCCTTTTTTTCCCCCCCTTCTCTCTCTGATTCACCTATTTGGCTTCGCTTCATGCTATAGGCGGTACCTAATCAATCACTTAATCAGCAAGGAGCAATCCGCTGAAAGTAAATAAAAGTACGACCAGACCACGATATCATGCCATCCAAATTCCAAGACCTCGACCCGGCCGGAGTGTCGCCGGAAGACCGCGTCAATGCCATGCGAGGATACAAAGCGTATGCCTGCTATTCGCCTCTGTGGTGTCTGCAAAGAATGAGACATAATATATACTGACAAGAACATACAGCACAATAAAGAACCCCCGCAACTCAGAGTCTGCAAAGCAGCATGCGCACGAAATGATTGATGCTCTCGGAGGCGATGAGCCGCGCCGCGAGATGAAGCAGTTTGACCAAGACAAGGATCAGACGCGCATTGCGGGAGGACTGAAAGCGTATGTCTTACTTCCTTCTTTTCTGGCAGAGCATACATGGCTAACGCAGTGAATGAATGGATGCATAGTTCAACAAAGAATCCCCGAGTGTCCGAGGAAGGCAAGAATCGAGCGCAGGAAAAGCTCGACCAGATGGGGGCGCCTTCTGAGTAAAGCAATGTTGTTTCGACACGTTATGGTCCATTTTGTATGTGTATCAACGTGCAGATAGAAGCTTTGTATATGCGTTATGAAGAATGTGTGAATCTTCTCTTCGCTTCCCCACGGCCACGCAGACGCGGGGCCTGTAAAAGCTTGAATTGATCAAGAATGACAACGTTTGGAGTATGTATAAAGTGGGGGAAACCCACGTCGACTGAATGACTTCATCGCGCAATTAGTAATCCTCCTAAACATTTATCCGGCGAGTGGAAGTACTACATTTATAGGCTTGAACTTCCTTGCTCGTATCCTCTAGACAGATAAGCAGGTATTTTCATCCAGTCCATCCGTAGACCAGCATACCTAGCTATTCACAATGACCAAAGTCTTCCTGTAGGCTTTCACCCTTGAACAATAGATACAAACAGCAGCTCACTCTCCCAGAACTGGCGCAACAGGCTACATTGGCGGCGATGCCCTCTATGCCCTGCACCACAAACACCCCGAGTTTTCCTTCTCGATCTTGGTACGCGATGCTAGCAAAAGTGACCGAATCAAAGCTGTCTTTCCGGATGTTCGCATTGTGAATGGCCCGCTCGACGACTATGAATTGCTGAAGAAGGAGGCTGCTGACGCGGATATCGTCGTTCGTGAGTATATATATATATATCCTTCTCCCTGTTTCCACTCTCCTCCTTACCATTGCCGTACTAATCCATGCAACAGACACGGCAGATGCATCCGACCACGTCATTGCAGCCAACGCGATTGCCGCAGGTCTGGCTGAAGGCCACACTGCCGAAAAGCCAGGCTACTGGCTGCACACAGGAGGAACGGGTATTCTGACCTTTGCAGACTCTGACCGCGGTGTATTTGGCGAATACGACGCCAAGGTATACGACGACTGGGACGGCGTTGACGAGTTGACGCATCTCCCGGCGCATGCCTTCCACCGCAACGTCGACGAGATTGTCCTGGGTGCAGGGACCAAGAATGCAGCCAACGTGAAGACGGCCCTGTTGTGCCCGCCGACTATTTACGGTGAGGATCAGGATTGCTTCCATTGGGCGTTTGGAGCCACTTAGCTGACTGATTGACTGCGGTGTAAAGGACCTGGTCGAGGACCAATCAACCAGAAAAGTCGCCAGGTATACAGTCTTTGCCGCATGGCGCTTCAAATCAAGAAAGGCCCATTAGTCGGCGCCGGAAAGTCCATCTGGAACAACGTGCATGTTCACGATCTAAGCAACCTTTTTGTCCTCCTCGCCGAGGCTGCTGTTGCCGGCAAACACCATGACGGCATCTGGGGCGCCAATGGGTACTATCTCGTTGAAAACGGCGAGCACGTCTGGGGTGATGTCTCGCGGTCGGTTGCTGAAATTGCCACTAAGGAAGGCTATTTCCCCGAAGCCAAGGTAGAAGAAGTCAATATTGAGACTTGCAAGAAATTTGCTGGGTTTGAGGCGCTGAGTTGGGGTTTGAATTCGCGAGGGACGGCAAAACGTGCTGCCAAGTTGCTCGGCTGGAAGCCTGTGGCGCCTAGCTTAGATGAGGAGCTGCCTGGTATTGTGAAGTTGGAGTATAATGGATTGCAAAAATAGTCCTCGCGCTGTGAATGGCGCTTATGTATATAAATGTTTACCCAGGGCATATCTGCTGGGTGACAGTATCGTTGCTTGGCGACAAGGCTATGTATGCTAGAAGACGTTTGATTCAATCTTGGATTACATTGTGCCAATGTTCAACACTAGTTGCTATTGTACATAATCACGAAAGTAGAAAGAAAGGAAACGATGACTGTGATGCAATCTAACATAAAATGAACCGAAGCGAAAAAGAACCATTTGTACCATGCGATAAAAGCGTGAATGGAAGGATTTTACACGAAGAGTACAGTATTGCGTGCTGCCGACGGAACAAAAGATTGGAACTGATATTATTTTGCAGGGGTATCGAATTGCAGAATCGAAATTCGTATGGAAGTGTGTATTCAAATTAGAAAAAAGGAGTCGAAATCATGAGTCCTATAAAATTTTAGCGTTAGTAAGTTGTACGTCGAAGTTGTTAATGGTGATTTGCGGCCTACGTTTAATTCCTCGTCAAGCTCAAAAACCACACCTGGAGATGTTTGTTTTTTCGACTCTGGCGAAACGGGTGCAGACCAACTCAAATCATTTCCCTGAGGAACCTGCACGGAAAGTATGACTGGAGGCCGGATACTCTCGTTCTGGCGAAGTTGTCCTCGCGCCGGCAGTCTCGCAGTAGGCATTTGGTAAGATGACCGCAGATTGGGAACTGGCTGCATAGTCAACGAGCTAGAAGCAAGTTTGGCAAGACCTCGAGAGCGTGGTAGAGAAGACTGCAACGTAGAATCGAGCGCCGAACGGTGTTGTGGTTGCTGCTGCTGTTTCTCGTCATATGATAGAGGCTGATTTGGAGAACCGAGGTTGAATAAAGACACATCGGAGTTGCTTGGATGATTCGTAAAGCTGACTGCGCGTTCTGGGATCTTGAGGTCCGGCGAAGGAGGTAGAAAAGACGGTTCGTTGTTGTTGGCTGCGACCGAAGACTCCTCCAAGATCCCCAATCCGTGAGTCTCCTCAGAGTCTCGCCGTGATGGGGCCTTGTAAAAATTACCGAGAGAAGGCTTGCGAGGACGCTGCGGAGGAGAGCCTGGCTGCATAATAGGCGACGGTATGTCTCGATAATCCGCATTGGGCTTGATGACTGTAACCTGGCGTTCCCAGTTCCCAAGGGTAACTGTGATTGTTTCAGCGCGCGTAACTGGCACAGGAGATCGTGGTCGGATGTGGTCTGGTGCGAGAAAGCCAAAATCTTGGGGGCGCAAGCCAGGGCAATCAGAGTCAGGCAAATCGAGGTCTTCGCCCTCATCGGGGTCTTCAGGGTCAATAACCCTCGGCGTACGAGACGTGCCAGGAATAATGATGGCTTGGGGAGAGGGCATGACAATGTTGCGCGTAGACGAAGAAGTACATTCAGTGGACAGACGACTTGGAAGCGAGGAGTATGATGGTCCCAAAGCCAAAATTGAATAACCTGACACACGATACTCAGTTGAATGCAAATGGAAATGAAAATGATTGACTTTTCAAAACTTGCAAATGGTCAAAAAGATTTGAACAAGATAAACAGCCCTCAGGGAGTGTTGGGTAGACAGGTTGGGATGGAAGACAGGATGATTAAATCGTGCCAAAAGAAGCCAAATAAGATGACAGTAGCAATTTATACGTGTATGTATGCAATGTATGAGATGAGGTGATGCGTAAAGTAAAAAGACTTACCCTCATCGCTCTGTGTGATTTCTCGCAGGACTTTCCCTTCAAATTCCTCACCACCAAAGCTGAAGCTTGCAACACTCTGTGCAGATGACAATGACTCCAGTGAGCGCACCTTCTCTGGGCTAAGACAGTAACAAAAGCCCTCTTCATCCCAGAAGTCAACCCCGCTGGCCATCACTTGGGCATCTGGCCACCCCCAGATATCATCTAGTGTGGTGTGAGGCTGCACCCCAGCTACTTGAATGGCTTCACAAGCTGCCTCCAGGTACGGCGTGCTTTGTCCCAGAAAGACTTCTTCTTGGGCTTGTTGGCCTCCTGCCTGGAATCGATGATGGAAAAGATCCAGAGCTTCGTTGTGCGAGTTTTCTGCTGTCGTGCACGCATGATTAGGGACCTTGTAGTTGCTATCCATGACAAAACGTGTGAGGATGAAAGAGAAAAAAGGAAGAAAGAAGCGAGCAGCGAATGGTAAAGTGCTTGGTACCCATAAGGCTCTCAACCACCTGGGCACATTAAGGTGGAACTCCCCGCCTAAAGACAAACAACTTCAGACCACCACAACAAAAGGCGGAAACCACACAAAGTAGTAAATGTGAGACATGGATATCCAAGAAAAAAAAGGGAGCCCAGTGTATATATTTGCAACTGATTTGAAAAGAATTTGCTCAGGTTTCCTTTGTCGGCAAACTTCTGTTGCCACCGAGAGAGATAAATGTATGCGTTCTTTCTTGCTCTTGACACGGCGGTGACCGCAATGACGAGAACGTTTTCTAGTTGCAGGACAAGATATCAGATGAGGCAGTGCTAACTAGCAGAAGTAGAAATGGACAAAGGAAAGAAAAGGCTCGGTTATCCTGCAAAGTTGCCGTGCCAGGCCAGCGCGAGGACAGGGGTGGAAGAAGCTCTTTAACAGGCGAGACATTTTCTAGAGAAACTTTCATACATACTATTAGATAAAGTCATGCTCATATACTTGGTTTCTGCATGACTGTGGTTTTGTTTCTTCAGGTCATTTACCTGGTCAAATACATCAAAGTCTTGTCCAGTGACTGGCTGAAGTGACTTGGTTTTGGAGTGCTTGAGACAGCAGAACTCAGCAAAGCAAACAAGAAACAAACTCGAAAGAAAGTGCAGCGGAGCCGGCCACTTTTTCTAAAGTGACTGCATGGCTGCTAGGCCTATTTTTCTTGCTTGCGGCGTCTCATGCTGGCAGACTGCCTAGCTCGTTCTACGTTTATGTGTCCCGCCAACCAACGCAAACATGTCCAGGGCGGAATACTAGAAGAGCTAATAGGCAGAAGCGGATGCAAAGACCATAGTTCCGGTTCCGAACGCCTTGCTCTCGATACACATAGTGAGTAGCACGGGTCATCCATCGATGGTTGGTCGAGGGTCAGGTGGCCGTGCAACGGAAAGACGGCTGTGCACGGCGCTGTCAGCCACTGCCTCCGCCGCCCGGCAGAATCAATCGCATGAGCCTCGTGAGTCATTTGAGATCCTGGCATCGAGCTTATGCAGGGGTCATGTAGCCTTTGACGTCAAGTAAATTCTTTAAAGTGCTGGAATGGCGTGGTAGGCACGGGAATTATCTCGGCGTGAGTCATACAGGGCGTCTTGTTCCTGCGCCTGTCCAAGATCATGCATAGTTTAGGGCTGACTGTTGCACTGCCTGACTCAGTTGAAAAGCTCTTAGTTAGTAGTTCGTTAAGTTAGTTAAGTTAGCATTGAGTGAACAATAAACGGTTGGCAGAAGCTAATCTCGAGCTTCTGGGCTATATGTAAAAGACGTTGACTCAAGGCCTAGATATTCATGTAGTGCACAATATATATCGTGCTGGCTAGTATATCGACATGTTTGGACTCAGAATTCCCCAAATAATGCAGAATAATAATATTTCGAACTATTGTCCATGCCTTGAAGATAATAATAAATTCAAAGTAAACGCAGGTTGACCAATGACGTAGGAGGCCGGTACCGCGGTCGCCTTAGATCGATCGTGGCATGGCGCTCGGGCCGAGCCGATTTCCATATTAATCAAAATTTAAATCCTACTTGATATTATTTCTCTGACGCAAATATTAATCGTTCATTTGTAGCTAGCCAATACCCATGAGAATTTACAAGCCGTCTGCCTCGAAAATGAGAGATACTTACGAACTTGCTGCATGGTACAGCCAATAAGCATATTGATGATTGTGATAAGTGGGGGAGCTATTGCATGACGATGTACCTAAAGCCAAAGCTTTTCAAATAGAACATAGCTTTTACCTTCCTACACGCATTTCGCATCTCATCTGTTTCATTTTGCATTCACTTCCCTCGCGTCTTTCTTAGAGTGGTTATCCTAGTCGCTGACTACCCAGGCGCAAAATGCTGATGAGGACCATTTTGACGCTCCTTCTTGCCGCTGGCATCGCTCACTGCCAGACACCGCCAGGCTTTGAACCATCGACAGAAAACAAGCTGGGTGTCAAATTTGGAAATAGGGTCAGGGCAGACAATGGCAATAAGCTCGAAAAAGCTGGTAAGACTTTGGACGTTCTTCTCTCACATTCATCTACATCCGCGCAAAATCGAAACCGAAAATTTATCAGATTGAAAAGAGCTTTATTAACACACTATGCACATATAGATACTCAGAGTATACCGCGCTTGGACCTCAAGTTCCTAATCGATGACGTCGATTCCTCCTTCCTCTTCGCGGAAACATCGACTTCATCTTCCCATTATATTGTGTTCATGATTGATCTCGACGTTCCCCGAAACGGCACCACAGTTCCTTTCTTGCATTGGTACCAGCCTAATTTTGGCCTAAATAGGAAAACCGGAAAGCTGTTGCCCCCAAAATCCAGCGAACCTGCCAAAGCGGAATATGTCGGACCTTCACCGCCACCTGGACCAGCGCATCGTTACGTCGAACTGTTGTTTAATCAACCTTTTTACTATGAGTTTCCGGAAGAGTTTGACAGGTATCTAGAGAAAAAGTCGTCAGCACGAGTGGGCTTTGAGATCAATGATTTCGTGAAAGCGGCCAAGCTGCAGAAACCCATTGCTGGAAACTGGTTTTTGGTGCAAGAGACAGAAGATTTGAGGGAAGATTTGTGAAATCTGTGAAGGATGACCTACATCCCTGCAGCAACTGCTCCTCATTGAGCATCATGTGTGGTTTCTTTTTGTCATATAGGACTGTGAGGTGACGCTGGGTGATATATATCACCTGGGTAGCATCAAAAATATGAGATCTTGTTATAGCCTACTTGAGTTAAATAAACAAGTTCGACTCACTGATTTTATATCACCAACACTTATTAAAGACAATTCGTGATTTTTGACCACCACTTTGATTTAGCCTTCTGGCCCACACATTCAGGATGCTTGCACTTCTCATCCGCAGTATCTACAATCCATTCTCGTTTGCCACAACAAGACTGGTCACGCCGTGGTCGAGCTCTTTTTCGCCGGCAATCCAGTGCATAGAAGTGTATCTTGCCGCATGAACGATTCGTGTAGCAGACTTGTCGACAGTGGCCGGAGACTTGCCATTTGGCAGCGAGGTAATCGAAGTATGATTTGAAATTTGCACGTTTAACACCCTGCGTTGGCTGTGGCCTGTGAGTGTGATGTTCGCATGGGTTGCTAACGCCAGTGCAATCAACAGATATGTATTGTAAGATCCTGGTGGGATGCTGGCATGCCCATTTCGTGGTATCCAGATGCGCAGGACATCGCGCAATTGTTGGTGGATTTATGTACCCGCACTTGTAGATGTGAATGATTTTCTGGCATCTAATCCCGGTGTCGCGATCGGAATTGATATTTTTCGATATGATTTGTGCTGTGACTGAAGAATCACCCATCGTGGTGCTTGTTAAAATTATATTAGTCACTCATATAAGTATTTGAGCAATGGCCACAGTGCTGGAGAGGAAATACTTTATGTACCTTCGCCTCTACTACTGATTGTAACTCCATGCATTGCTCACACGAATGAGTCTTCTCCAACGACACATTTGTCGGTATTTAGCCATGTTACACAATTCTAATTACTTGTCCCTCTTCTCATTCGCAGTACGGAAAGTCGCTATGATGCTGATACATTCTGCTCGGCTAGTTAGTATTTATTGAATTTATCACCTTCAATAAATACGTATCAGACTCCAGATTTGCCTATCGGGTAATCGGATGAGTAGGAGTTGCGAGTTCCTAGTTGATACCCCTACCTAGATATTCGGTAGCACTTTCGGAGCTCCGTATATACTGAAACAGTCTTTGAAGTTGAAAATTAAATTTCAATTGGAACAGAATACTAGATCTTGGAAGGACTCTAGATATAAAAGGGCTGTTGTATGATTCATTATGCAACCGAAACCCTAGAAGTCGTCTTATCAAATACGTGGATGAATACATGGATAATGCTTAATTAAACAATTATCGTTTATGTACTTTACTAACAACATAATCTAAGCCCGTGAATGATTACTCTTATATTATTTAATTTTTATGATTCTTGCTTGTTTCATAGACAGTCCTGCAGACGCTTAGGTCTGAATGAACCTTGCCAATGACTCACGAAGTTCGTATTGACTGTACGTCTCATTTCTTTAAGGTCAGCTTCAGAATCCGTAAGCCCTAAGTCTTAAGTTCATTCAGTCGTTGTCTTAGTCGAAATTCCAAGACAAACTACGGGATAAGGGTAACAATTCAAAATACGACTGGATAGTACCTATACATGGCGCAAAAAGAAATTTATGCAGAATGATACATTGTGCTACCTAGGCACTTTTCGGTGTTACAGTGGTAATCGCTTCATGGCAGTGCTACGGCTCTGTGAAGTCAAGCCTTGTAGGAGCTGCCGTCTCAACGCAGGAGGCAACCAGAGACAAGGCAGCAAATCACGTATATTTGGATTATGTCGATGATTTCTTCCTTTTTCCTGTTCGAACTAGTCATATTTAATGTACATGCTTATTGATAAATGTTCATCAAGTATGTTCGCAATCATTGCAAGAAACCATCCAGGTGCTAGGCAAGCATGGATACTACCCATGTCCATCATCTTGTTTGATTATTCATCTCCGAAATGCCTTGAAAACATAAGCACCGGTAAACGTATAATCACAAGTACAGTGTAACCATTTCTCAATTTGTGGCAAAAAGAGCAGGTCCCATGTATGCAAGTATCTACCAACAGCAGAGTACCCCCAATTTGACCTACCTAGGTAGGTAGTTATGTATCACAGTTATGAGTCAGTATGGCCGCATGTATGATATATATGGCTGCTCGTTTATGTCTCTTATATCCTCTTCGGGTTACAGGTGTATGAGATATTAGCTTGTTCGTACCAATCACTGAAGTAGTAAGTACATTCTTTGAGACGACATTATGGCTGAAACGCTTTTCCTTTGCCTCTCCTATATTGCTGAATCATCGCATGAACCTTCGGAGTCATTCCAAGGCAATTTTGCGAATGATTATCCAGTCGAGCAACTTGGGACAAAGAATAAATATGAAAGTAACGATATAATGGACGTCTCTTCCATGGCTTATCATCAGTCTCTTCAGCCTTCCCGATGGATAGAGATATTCTCCAGTGCTTATAAGGCTCCACAAAACCAAATATCGACAATGACGCTTCCAAACAAATCCCTTCCAAAGCCAAGAAGCGTCAGGGATAATCTCAGCTTTGAGATGGGGGAATCATCACGAAATCCTTTTTTGTCTCACCGAGCAACAGAATCTGCCAGCGTTGACACAGGTTCCGGTAGTGCAAGTTCAAAAGGAGCGGAAAATCCGAAACCTGATCGGGTTGATCAAGCGTCATCGAGCAGCCAGATAGCCGCCAACGGGGATATCGGAGCGGAGGGCGACGTGGAGCTTGATGCATTGATTAGACGTGTCCTTGGGTCCTCGTTAATGGAGGCAGATCAAACAAAAGCAAGTGCCGAGCACCTCAGCGAAGGAACCACAGTGTTAGGCAAGGGCAAGCAGCCTATGCGGCCCGCCGTCATAGATATCAGCTTGCTGGAGGGAAATATTGACCGAACTCGTGACGCAAACCAAGTTAATGGCAAGGGGAAACAACCTGTCAGGTCTGCTTTGGAACAGCCATTTTCTCCATACAGAATACCAAGCCAAGAGCGTGGAAAAAGCTGGCTACCAAGTTCAAATGTGTCTAATCTACACGCAGCTTGTACAACTGCCCAATCTGCATCAGGGCAATTCAATAACGAACAGGACTATATACAAAGAAATAAGATGATAGGGCACGGCAGGAACGGCAACATTGATTCAACAGAAGACCAGTCAGAGGAAGACGAAGAATACAATGACAACAATGACTGCAATCTGGACGACGTAGAGTTGAATGGATTGCTTCAAACCGTCCTAAACGCAAACCCTGGGTCAGCGATATCCGTCAAATCCTACACAAGTCCTGCGACTGGCCAAGATGTGTTCCTGTTCAATCACGGTATAATAATACCTAGGAAAGACGCAGGAAAGCTAGTGTACGGGGCGGCCATTCCAGGAAAGATATTTCAACGGAAGAAGAGTCGATTTCCCTCCACCTCGGCATTGTTGATGGCATTAGCTAAGACAAAACTGGATATTCTAGGCATTAGGACAAGGAATATTGAACTTGTTCGGACACTGATTTTGGAGGATGCCGAAGAGGCTTACCGAATAGAAAAATATGGATATAACACATGGTTGGGAATAGTTAAAGAGCGGAAGAATCGATACGACCCAGAAACTCGCCAGTGGAAATCCATATTATATCCGTCACAATGGCGCCGACATGGTCTTGTTTTACCCGAAGGCCAAGACGTGAGTCACTTTCGCTTCGCATCTCACACCAGGAACAATAGGCTCTCAAGGCTGACCAATGTTTGTAGCCACCCGAGAATAGTTGCAAGTTTAGAATAGTGACTTTGTGTGGACAGATCTTGCACCAGTGGTTCGTACGATGCGATAATAAGAGAGCCTTTGGTCCACGAGAAATCATCGCAGAAGTATCCTGCGGCCAAGATGACAAGTGTGAAAAATCCTCGAGCTGGGAGCCCGAGAGTGGCCCGCTAATACATGATAATTCTGTCAAGCGATGGGTTGAGATTGATCCTGATAAAGAGGGAGCTAGTCTCTCGAAGAAGTTCTACCCTTTTATGAAATTCTGGATGATTGAAGGTCCCCCGAAATGGGAATCGCCCCCGGTATGTGATTGTCCCAGGATAGATAAGACGTAAAGATGAAGTTCTTTTAAAAAGAGAAAATCAACCTGAATGTGTCTTTTGCTGACTTCATATTTATGCAGGGCTGTATGAAAATAAATTGCGTTACGAAGTGTGGACTTGTCAAAAGCAGAATCCGCCTTCTCTGTCAGAGACATATTTCCAAGAAGCTTAAGTGTATTGGTGGCGAGTTCACAATGCTCATTGATAGAGGATGTGCTCTTCGTGATGACATTCACCGATGTGATGAGAAAACTGTCTGTGAGGGGTATCTTGATTGGGTCCAGGCCAAATTAGGCCTCCCAGTAGACAAGTTGACACCGACGCAAGTGCATGAACTACGCAAACTACATGCTGATCTGACCTTGGCGTACGAGAAAGACATAAAAGGCATGGGATCCTTCTACAAGCACGAACGCAGCGAGAAAAAATGGAAAGATGTGATCTATAACCACGTTGATCTGTATAATATGTTGTTCGACTGGGGATTAAGGACCATCCGTTACCCGGAAGGCCTTTCTGTCGTTCGAGCAGAGGAGTCCGTCATCCAATAGCTTTCTTGCATATAAATGACCTAACTACTTCCTATCTTTTTTGGGTTATAAAATGTCTGGAGATAGCTTTGGGGGCCTACTCGAAATAGTCCACGCTGAAGATTACCAAGTAGAATGTCACTGTCTGTGTATATAAGTGGCTGAATGAGAGAATGACGCCGTCGAAAGCTCTATCGGAGTCTAAGCAAGGAAAAGTGGGGCCCTTTAGCTTGTTCGACGATCGAAGCAGCTCAAAAATTGGACCTTCATATATCTAGTAGACATTAGAAATATCTACCTATACAACAATACTCTTGGATGGATAATAGGTACAAGATCAAATTTTTACTCACTACTCTAGCTAGCACGAGTTATCCTTTGGCTTATGCATTTCAAGCTCCGTTCTCTTGAAGATACTGATAAAATTGTGAGCTATGATGACCAGCTCATCGACGCTTTTCCCTCTCAATCGCGTTATAGCCAGTCGCTGGGTTATTTCCATCCAACAGCTAGATACAGAATCACGAATTCCACACTCTGCAAGAAACCGGGATAGTTACCGTTGTGTCATCTCATCATTCGGTTAGATGAACCGTAAACACAAGTAGCTACCGGAATTTTCACGCCATGCGTGAACCAGGATATCCACTGCGTGCCGCCTGTTGAGAGAATCTTACAAAGTACAAGAAAATAGCCAGAGATGTATATCATTTTCAAGGGCTACTTGATCGATTTGCTCGCACCGCTGTCGAGGATTCGGAGCACTGGTTCGCAAATACGCGGAAGTGATACTTCTCTCCTACATAACCAAACAGCTGCTGAATGAACTCACGCTCGATGGTCCCTTCGGAAAATGTGTCAAAGGCCACTCGCAGAACAAACATCAGGCGAGACACTAAAAACCCAGGAACAGTACGCAAATAATACGGTATACTTCGACAGATATCAACAGCTAGTTGGTATCTCTCTGAAGGGCTCAAAACCATGATGAATCCGTCACTATCACCTCCAGCTATGACGAGGCGCAGAGCGCGATATAGACACATGGTGGTGGCTAGTAGCAAATCAGGATACACGAGAACGTGAGGCTGACTTATTTCTCCAGTAATCACGTCGCGACAGTGAAAACGGGGGACACTACTATCGTTCCCAAATTCCTCTGCTGACTGTTCAGTCAAGTACCCGTGTTCGTAAGTGGACGCGTTTATAGAATGCCACAGCTGTAATCGCTGATCTAGAGTGATCGCTGTGGCTTGTATTTTGTTCTGCATAGATATAAGTTCGTCCTGCGGCAGCTTGTCGTGAAATAGGGCAGACTTGAAGGCGTCGTAATCACCCAAGAATGCAGGAATCTCGACCGCTATATCCAACAGAAAATGGAGTATATCTTTTTGGGGGCCATTCTCCGGCCATGGAACCGTCATCCAGTCATTCCTAGCCAGAAAGGTTGCCTTTCGGTTAGAAATCGCAGTCGTCACCTAAACCTGGTCAGCCCTGGCAGCACCTTTTGCTATATCGAAGTAACAACGAACCCAGAACATCCGAAGATCAACAAAAAGGGACTGTTCCAAGCCTGTTCGATGACGGTACGGTGTTCGGAGCCGAAGAAGTTCTAGTCCACCCTGCTGGTGCTTCAAGATAGCACCCGGTGAGCTTTGATTAAACGCCTGCCTCTCGGTCAGCATATCCTGGCTGTAGCATTAATCGTTCTAAGCAACTAAATAACGTCTTACCAACCTCAATCACAGTCAAAAGCACGACCATAGTCAGAGCTTCTGTCGACTTGCATTGCTGAGGGTCATTGACAATTCTCTGCAACATTTTCAAAACTCGATGATATTGATTGTTCCCTGCGGTGACAAATTTTTGGGTTTGGTCTCGCTGGCCAATAAAGATCAAAGCTGTCGCGTCAAACCCTGCGGCTAGCAGCGGGGAGAATATCCGCTTTTCAGCCGCTGAGCGAAGATCGAAAACTCTGCCGTGAATGTCTGATGGGTCAGGGGCGAATGCATTGATCAGTTCACCGACGAACACCTCCATGAAGAATCTCCCTGGTGACGGCGACGCAGCCAGTGCTTTTTGGAGGCTGGCTGCCGAGGAAACCTGGAACATGTTAGATTCTTGGCCGACAAGATACTACACCGTCTCTTTGACATGCCTCTATTGTGTTTTTCTTGTTCCCGGTCTTTATCACCGTATTTGTCTTGGCATAAGACTTGTCGGACGCGTCACTAATAGCCGCAGCACTCCCGTGTGGTACACTGTTCTGCTCATTGAGCTTTTGCTCCAGACTCCTAACTTTGGCGCGCAGCTGTTCAATCAAGTCCGACTGGTCAATAAACCCTCGGTCATGTTTCGTGGTGCCATAGTCGCATTCGGCCGGCACGCCTCGCATACAGCAAGCTCGACAGGGTTTCACGCGATCGCACTTTTCGCCAGGTTGTTCAGTCAGTTGTCAATCAGAATGGACGAGTTTTCCCCTCGTTGGTTTACTAAACGCACGTACCTTTACTTTGCGCTTTTGACAGCTGAGGCAGGACAGCGTACGGCGCGATTTCTTGCCAGCCAGCGGCGGCTGGGCCTTTGCGGGGGCGGCTTCACTGTTAGGGGCTTTGTCGTCGACCATGAAGCCGTCATTGTCCAGGGCGAGATGCAGGAATGGAAATGCAGTCCTTTTGTGATGGTGAGATACGTTGCTCCGAGTCGTGAGACTCAGAGCAGGGGCGAGGGGAGCATGTGATGGTTAATGCTGAGGTGGATGCATGCGGGTGATCGAATCCCACGGCGTCGTAATAAGCAACTACGTACTTACGGTACGGTACGGCAGTCAATACCAATAATACCCACCATCCCTTTTAGGCAAGTCGCTACGCTCCATTTCTTGCCCTAAGCCTCACTTTCAGCGTGACTGTTGAAGGCTTATATCCAATCTATATGCTGATTTTGGTGAGGGACCGAATAACCTGGCAAATATCTTCATGTTCGCTTCGTCGATGATCGTACTCCCTGATACGCACCTCGTAAGCGGAAAAAGCAACGTGCAAGACTGAGGAGATACTCACACATACGGAGTACCTAGAACCTGGAATAAAATGAAAAGCCTGGCTCGATTCAAAGCGAGCTCTGCAGTGCTGATCTCTGTGTCCTGCATGGCCGCCAAGAATGCAGGAAATTTCACACCACTACCTGAAATGTCCGCTTGGTATAGTTTATGAGGAATTAAAATCGAAGTCGAAATCGCAGAGCATAACTACTTGCCTTATGCAGCGTCATTTACTCATTGCAATGGACATATCTCACGGATTTCGCCACAGACTAGTGATATGCTGAGCTCTAAAGCCGTAGCGCTATGCAATTGCCGGTCCCCTAGTCCGTGGGTAATACATGACTGGCTAAAATCGCAGTGACCTCGGAACTGCTTTTCCATAGCTTTCATGTTCTTGCATAAATGACTGAGTAGTTTTGTTACACATTGGCGCGATCGGCCATATGCTCTTATCGCCGACGTTGATTAGTTGACCGCAAGTCCATCAGCTTGCATACGTACAGTGGGGGTGCAGTAGTGTTAACACCCCCTGCTTACTAATAAAAATAATACCCCACCGCTTTCCTAATTTAGCCTTTGTAAAGTTTTCAAGCCAATGATAATGTCTAGATTTTGATTTATCCGGCAGAATAAGCGGCGGTGTATTTAGCGCGAAACAAGGGTGTTAACACTACTGCGAAGGCACTGTATATTCCGTCCACGGATTGAAGGGAATAAAAGCAAGGTGGGAAAGGAAAACAATATCTTGAATTATTAATGAATGTGCATTTCTAAAGTAATCAGGGATCACCACATCAAATATTTAGTTAGGGTCGTGGCTTGCCAAGGTAAATTCATTCACTGCCAAGAAAATTCCTATATACACATGAATGCGACAAGGCAAAGAGCTTCCACGAGACGCTCCCGTGCGGGATGTCGCACCTGTCGGTTGGTTCCAACTTCTGGCTGCCTAAATCCTTTCCCCTTGCGACCGCATGCTGACGTTCCTTAGATTGAGGCATATTAAATGCGACGAGACACCAGTGTCATGTAAGAACTGTCTGTCTGCTGGCTGGAAATGCGACGGTTACGAGAATCGTCTCGCTCATCTACGAAAGGACAAACGGACCAACACCAGCACATCTCTTGCCCTGCAACAAATCGCAATTCCGCTGCCGGGACGCAGCTCTGATGAGCGAAGAGGGTTCGCGTTCTTCCAAAAATGGACTGTTCCAGAAATGAGTACCCTGTTTGCCACTCGTTTATGGAACCATCTCGTGCTTCCCATGAGCCATGCCGAACAAGCAGTTACTCACGCTGCGGTAGCCCTCAGTACGTTACATGAGGACATGAGGGCAAGAGGGGCACCGCTGAGTCGAGAGAATCTGGCAAATGAACGCCATCGGTTTGCGCTCGAGCAGTATACTCGAGCTTTGTCTTGCCTGAATGCGCGGCGGCATTCAAACGACCCAAAGCTGCCGGCGGTCCTGCTGACGTGCTGCCTCTTGTTTGTCTTTTTTGAACTACTTCGCGGTCAATACGATCCTGCATTCGCACATCTTCAATGGGGGCTCTCGATCATTAAGGAACTTCACGTAAACCTAGATGCGAAACAGAAACCCGCGTCGCCGTCTTCACGTTTATCGACTTCAAACTCTTCGGCAGACATTGAAACTTCTCTAGTAGAGGCAATGACGCGACTACACTACCAATCTACATTTTTTGGGGTTGACGTATCTAATTCCCAGCCTCTGTTGGCAGAATCACCAGCCAGGGAAGACGAATATTTCTTCAACGAATTCGAAACTATTTCAGAGGCTCGAGGATATATGGATGGCTTGTTCAACAAATCATGTCGTGTCGTGTCTTCATTTGCTCGATTATCCCCCGAGGAGCAGTTACTGCGTAGTAATCGTCTGAACTTTGAAGCAGAGCAACAGAAACTTCGCACGGAGTGTGCACAATTCTTGGAACGGCTTAATCGTTCCGAGACAAGATTGCTTCGTTCAGGATGCAAAGAGAGCCAGCGTGCGACTGATTTAATCCGCCTGTACCAGAAGACATGCCAGCTGATGCTGGAAACTTTCATCGAAAGGGAGGGCGTCTCGTATGCTTCATATACGGAAGAATTTAGGGGGCTTGTGACCATCTCCGAGCGAATAGCAGATAGTTTTTGCGAAAGGAATGGTCCGGATAGTCACTCTCGGCCCACTCTACTGTTAGACATAGGCATCATACCAGCACTAACCTATGTTTGCATAAAATGCGCAGATGCATCTCTGCGTCAGCAAGCGTTGAGAAACCTCGTAGCCTGGCCGCACCGAGAGGGTCCTTGGGATTCTAATCTGCTTGTAATCATGGCGAGCGAACTAATCAAAGTCGAAACCGAAGCCGAATTGCAGAGATTATCTGCCGTTGAAACGAACCCGTCGAGCCTTGATATATCCTACATATCGCCGGCATCACGAGTGACAGGACCGAGCCTGGTCGTAGAAGATGACCAGACACGTGCGGTGCTCAGATATAGTACCAATAGACACAGGCAAGGGGCATCGCAAGAAGAAAAATGGATTGTGCTTGACTGAGAGGCTACAGAATAACTAGCGGCTACATGTATAAAGAGCTATTTTTTGATCGTACAAGTTTGCATATACCCCTATGCCAGCCAAGTATAGAATCATCTTGTTGAAGCCAAAACAGACACCAAACAGCCCTAAGCCCGAGCGTGTAGCTAATGTTACTCTCTGCTAATATTTGTAATGCTTGCCGGCGCACTCGGCGGTAAGCGGAAGATGATTCCTATTCAGGTAGCGGCTCTCTTATCCCCGACATTTTACTAATCGAACGCTCGGCTTATCGGATTTAGTTGTACCCTCAGCCCTCAACACCATGAGCGTACGGCCCCCCGAGCTGAGAAATATCCTCAGCTGAGAAATCATTAGTGTGTGGATCTGGTGGTAAAAAGAACGAGGCTATGCAAGATGATTCATATAAATAGCCCCCGCGATCCGTGGCCAAGCTGAATCACAACCCACATCAACATCGCTTCACTGCAGCAACTGCAACTATCTCGGTACTCATTTCGACAACACAAGTTTGCTTAATTACAACTTTTCATACACATATCAATTTGAATATGTCTTCAGCAGCTTTGCCCAAGATCGCAATCGTCGGTGCCGGCCTGTCAGGCCTCGCCCTTGCACTTGCGCTTCACAGAAACGGACTCACTAATATAACTATCTACGAATCGCGTCCTGCAACTCTCGACATTGGCGGCGCAATCATGCTTTCACCGAATGCTCTCAAGATACTTGACGCAATTGGTGCCTACTCTCGTCTGCAGCCACGAAGCTATGCATTTGACACCCTCTATTTCCGCAAGTCCGACGAAGCTATAACTCTAGTTGACACCTTTGAGTTCGGCTCAGCCGAAAAATACGGCTACCCAGCATTGAGAGTATATCGCCATGAATTGATTGACGTTCTCCATGAGCTGATACGGGAGAAAGACGGGATCTCCATCGAGTATGGCAAGAAGTTTAGCCGAGTATTGTCGGAGACGAAAGAGCAAGTAACATGGGCCTTTGCCGACGAGTCTCAAGCTTCAGCCTCCTTCCTCATCGGAGCTGATGGGATTCACTCTCAGGTCCGCAAGTACCTGCATCCCGACATCGAACCTCGTTTCACTAAGGGCATTGGAGTGACTGCTGCCGTGCCAACGGCACAGCTACAGCTTCCTTCCGACTTCGACACGCCAGTGACACTGATGAATAGCAAATACGGCGCATTTGTCATTGCCAAACAACTCCGTGATGGCAGTGAAGTCCTTATTGGCAAGCAGCGGCGATTCACCGAGGACCTTAACAAAGAGGGCTGGGCAGACATGCTGAGAAACAAGCAATGGTGCATTGATTTTCTTCGCGAGGGTGCTTCCGAGTTTCCACCCTTGGTTGCTAATGCCGTCAGCAATATCCCTGAGAATAAGATCAATCTTTGGCCATTTTATGTTGTGCCAAAACTGGATTCATGGGTGTCAGCCGTCGGAAAGGTTGTGATTCTAGGCGACGCGGCACACGCAATTCCGCCCACTGCTGGACAAGGAGTGAACCAGGCATTTGAAGATATTTACACTTTTGCCGGCGTCATGGGCGCACTTCAAAGACGCAGTGCAGCACAGGATGACGCAGACAGAAGCAGTATTGTATTGAAGAGGTGGCAGACAGGCAGACAGCAGAGGGTTGATAAGATTTTGGAACTCAACGCCATGATTGACAAAAGGAGACTGCCTGGTCAGGATAGTATCACTAATGAGAAAGATGAATTTCAGTTGGGATGGTTATATAATCTCGATTTTGAACAGACGATTGCTGATTGGGTAGCTTAATGTTGATATTCTTTTGTTTGTTATATACATTTTGATCCTGTTCCCTTTCTAAGTTTTTGTTTATCATGTTTATCCTGGATTGCAAATGTTACAAAGCGGGAGTGAGACTAAACATAATAGACTATCGAGATAAGATATGTGAACGAGTCTGCGGAAGCAACATGGAAGCAACTACTCCCTTTGTACTTATGTCTTCCATCTCTACGAGCTTTCTAGCCCGTTGCGTGCACTCGCGCCAATGCATGCCTGCAAAGCTAATCCAAACTTGCCTGATAACTAAAAGTCGGTTTTCTCTCTGGTCAAAAGACAATATAACCCCTTTTATCTAAATTAATTCACTTATTTAGGTCTCCTAGTCAAACCTAAAAGACGATGTTTATAAGGAATAAGTCATATTACTAAGGGATCCCAAGCTTGAAGAACAAGGTAGTAGCAAGCATGCTACCAGTATCCAATCTTGCGGGCATCATTTTCACATCCAAATGAACAGCAATAAAGGAAGTTAGGGTTGTAAACAGCCTGTTTAGGTATAGTGCTTTGCCCGGTATTAACGGCGGATTTAACGGCGGAACTAGCATGGATGATGCAGAGAAACTGAACAGCACCACACGACATGCAACTTTCAAGTAATATGATAGTAGTATATTACCAGAGACTCAATAGTAGGGTATACGAATCTCCGCCGTAAATTCCGCTGTCTATCGGCTTAGTTAATGAGGGCATCATGCAGCCTGTTTCAGGAAAAAGAGTACAATATTTATGGTAATTACCCCCCTCCATTTTACAGTATCTGCAACAAGGAGGCAAAGACACAACAATGACTTCTTCAAGCACAATCCCCAAACGTGCCTTTGGAAAGCTTGGTCCCGAGCTCCCACGCCTCGGCTTCGGGCTCATGAACGCTAGCGGGACTTACAACCTGCCAGGGACCGATGCCGAGCGCCTGGCATTGTTGGACCATGCCTATAGCAAAGGACAGGTCTTTTGGGACACAGGTAATATGCGTTTTGGCATCTCCCGCTTTTCATTTGGAGGTAACATCTGATCATTCTTTTCTCCAGCTGACAAGTACGGCGACTCCGAAGAGATACTTGGTAAATGGTTTGCTGCGAATCCCGAAAAGCGAAAAGATATCTTCCTGGCGACAAAATTCGGCATCCAGGCGCTCCCCGACGGAAGATTCACAATGAACTCAACACCCGAGTACTGCCGTGAGTGCATTGGAAAATCCTTGAAGCGCCTTGGTTTACCTTACGTCGATCTCTACTACATTCATCGGCTTGACAAGGTGACGCCAGTGGAAAGAACAGTCCAAAGTCTGGTGGCACTCAAGAATGAAGGGAAAATCAAATACCTGGGTATCAGTGAATGCAGCGCCGAGTCCCTGCGACGAGCACATGCCGTCCATCCGATCACAGCACTCCAGATTGAATACAGCCTTTTCTGTCGCGATATCGAATCACCCAAGATTCGGCTGCTCCAGACAGCGCGCGAGCTCGGAGTAGCAGTGGTATGCTATAGTCCCCTAGGGAACGGCTTTTTGACTGGCAGATTCCGCACGATTGAAGACGTCAGTGGACCCGGCGACTCTCGTAAGGTACTTCCTTGGTTTTCCAAGGAGAATTTGAACAACAATTTGGTCGTCCTCGATAAAATTGCCGAGATGGCTAAAACCAAGGGTGCAACTTCAGCCCAACTCTCACTGGCTTGGCTACTCGCGCAAGGGGATGATATTTTTCCCATCCCAGGAACAAGCAAACCACACCGATTAGACGAAAATCTAGCAAGTGCTTCAGTGTCAGTTTCGCCAAAAGAAAATGAGACTCTCCGGAAGATAGCGTCAGAGGTCACTGGTGAGCGGTTTCAAACAAAGACTGGATATGCTTTCACCGATACACCTAAGTGGGAGTAGGGCGTTTCTAAGGTTCTCGCATACTATAGGCGAGAGCTGCCTTAAGAGAGTTATTATTATATACAGCATTAGTTTGATGAGAACTGAGTATCATATTTACCATTACCATTTCTTTGATATTCATGCATTTTCATGCCAAATGAATAAAAATATCTCCCTGAATATATTTCTCTCACACCTGTAGCTCATCCCAGTTGTCATATACTTGACAATCTGCATCATCTCCTTGACTTAGGTTTTGTTGTACCATAGGTTCCGTCGTAAAGGATATATAATCTGAGGGATCTAGTGAAAGGGAGGGAGTGGGTTCTCCACATGGGACAACATCAGACGTCGAAAAGGAGCTTTCATAAAAAGTGTCGCATGAATCTAGGGATTCACAAACCGGTGCTTTATAGGTTGCAGCGTCGAAGAAATTGTCACTCCGTAATTCGATCACACTAGGTCCCAAAGTTTCAATTTCTTGTAATGATACAGAAGCATTCGAGGTCTCAGACGCTTCCAGTCTCGATGATAATATCGAAATTGTACCAAAGTATGGTATTGATAACGGTAGAGCCTTTCCATTCTTTGCGGAAGTACTAGCGTCGGCCCACGTAAAACAATATTTTACGCCGTTGGCCGCATTTTCTTCAATTTGAAGGAGGGTTCGTAATTGCTGGGCACTTTCGGTAGTAGAGTTATCCAAATCCAAGCGTTGAATTAATCTATGAACAATGGCCAAATCCTGCGGTCTTTGGTGGGCTAAAAGATTGCTGTTATTGGCTGATGATTGTTTGCCATCAATATGAGCCAAAAGGAGGGTTACAGACGCGATCCATGCTTTATGGTCAATCCCACGGTAAGAGGTTGAATGATGAATGTCCCGCATGACGACAAAGCGGGAAAGAAGTTCACGACTCGCTGAAAGGGCATTGAGTTTGCAGTATGTGTAGTCGACTCTGTCAGTAACTCGTGTTGCTCTTTGGGAATGGAGTGGTCGCAATAGGTAGGGTTGGTGGAGAAGCAGTAAAAGATAATATTGATGCATTTGCACTTGCAACATAGAAGTTTTTTCCATCAAATCCTGGTCAGCTGCAGAATTGCGCAGGTTTGGCATGGCCCACGACTGCGTCGGTAAGATCTTGGCTGCCTGCCGTAGATCACAATCAATAGCTTGAGTTTGCGAGTAGTTATCATCCAAGACTTCGTAAGCAGGGGCACTGTCATTGTGGGATTGCATCTTAAGATTTCGCGCAATGATACGACCCATAATAGCAGCATGAGTACGAGCTAGTCTTTCTACCGGTTTTTTACCGACCAGTACACTGTCAGACGCGAAGTTATCATCAAAACCATTGCATGGAAAACCTGATATCGCTGACAGGAAACGATCGCAATAGTTGAGCAAGTACCATACCGACTCCTTTGAGTCATCATCGGTCACGTTTGTTTTGCGCAGGCCCATCAGTTCAGCAAGGCCTAGAGCACGACGAAGAGTAAGCCATGCAGCCCGGTGATTACCCATGCTAACGAGATAGCCAGACTCTAGCATCAATGTTTCCAGTCCTTCTAAGCTATCCACTAGCATGTCTTGAGAGGTGACATACTTAGACGCGATTTCAGCAAATCGTCGCGAAGCAACGTCCACAGATTCCTTGAGATTGTTTTTGGTTTCATAAAATGTGGTTGGATCAAGTCTTTGCATGCAAAGAGCGAGTCTGTAAAGCTTCTGGGCGAAGAAGATGGGATGCGCTGTTGGAGGGGGTTTTCGTGAGAATTGTACAAGCAAGTTTTCGGGCTTATTCCTTGAGTTGCACTGCTTCTTTGGCCAACGCAACATGTTGATTGGCATTTGAAAGTAGTTTCCCTGACTAAATATCATCATAGTGACGGTATCTTTTGGCAGGATTGAATGTAAATAGTGACTAAGTGAGAAGCACTCGTTCAAACTTTGCTGACTGCGTGAAAGAATAGAGGATGAAGAAGGACTGGAATTGGTCCGTTGCGTTAATTCTGTCTTATCTGATGATGAAGTTGCGGACTTCAATGTTTGCAAATCCTGAACTTGTTGATGGAAATGCCCCCCTCTTTTTGTCTCTATCAATCGGTTAATCATGGCTTCAACGTTCTCGATACGCTCTCCCACGTGCTCGTAACCATCTCGTTTCACCTCAATATACTCCTGGCTTATACATTGTACACCCCGTCGCTGGCAGGATTTACATGCCGAATCAGATGGCGACTCGTATTCACAACGGATTTTGCGAGTCTTGCATTCCCAGCAGCTGAAGGTCCCCTTGCGGAGCTTCTGGCGTCTGAAAGCCGGGCTGCTTCTGGCAGTCGAGGAGGGTGGCATTTTGCCTTCATTCCATTCGGTTCATGAGAATTGCTGCGAGACGAAAGCAAGCGGGTTGAAGTTAGCTCTCTGACATAAGCACTAGTCTGTGTATAGTTAGCTCCGTATTCTACCCCTTGCCATAATACAGAAATACGGTACTAGCGGAAGGGCCCGAAGGGGACTATGTCACAGGACGAGCGAGCGCTTATTGGTTATGCAGCCCTTCCTCCTTGGATACTTCCTATAACGCTTCCTCGGCGCCTCGCAGACTTTCTACGATACCTCTGCAAGGCTACTTAAGAGACAATGACAAGCATTCCTATTCAAGAAACCGTGGATATGACAAGACGCCGCTTGATGCAGCCGCCTAGCCCGCATTGTATGAGCAGATTTATATTTCAAGCATCATTTTTCCATACCTAAACAGGCCCTAGAGAGAGAGAGAGTCGTTCCATTTCTCGACCCTCTCCCTCATATCCTGTTCAACCGAGCTGGCCGCAGCAGCAGCTTCGGCATATGTTTTTGACTGCTTATTTCTTTCCAAGCGCCATTTCTCCACCTGAGACAATTCGTCTTCAGCTCTCTTTGTCTCCACGCCATCCATCACTCCACTCGGGACCGGCTCGCCAAAGGTTTCATAGACCGGTACGAGTCCCGACCAGACGGCCTTTTGTTGCCAGCCTGGTGATTGCCCTAGAACGATAGCCGGGTCGAAGTCGCCAATGTTTGCAGCTCGAACTTTGGCACTTGCAGTGCGAATGCTCACTTCTATCACCTGCACGCCTTGAATGGCCGATTGGGCAACTGAATATGTTCCATCCCATCGGTCTTGCCACATATGATTTGTCAATAGGCGCATTGCCCACCTCTTTTTCTCTGCGTTGCTATTTGGCACTAGCCTCGCCGTGCCATGTAGCACCGCAGATCGATAGTTCAACGAGTGTCCGTTCGGTGTTAGGAAAAGGACAACGCCATCCACTAGAAGTAGGATATAGTTCGCAGGTCAGCACGCGCCTTTGCTGCCTTGGCCTTCTTTAGGATCCTATGCAGACAACAGGCAGACAGACCTTTTGTGGAAGTAATACACACTCGCACACCATTCTCGTCGCTGGCTTTTATTGCTTTGTACAACAGAGAAGCGGCATTGCCATGTAAATAGGCCTCTACTGGCCCATCCACAAGTGACTTGTTTTTCTCAGTACGAAGCTGTGCATCGTCTATTGTGGAATAGTCGGCACTAGGATTATATCTACCCAGCACGCATGTCAATGGCAGGTTTACCGGTGTGTCTTCGCCATCCTCGTCTTTGATGATGAAGGCAACATGAGAGACCAGTGTCGAGTCCGTTATGGAGTGCACTGTGCCATAATCATAACGACCTAGTGAGCGCTAGTTAGTACTTCAGCCACAATTTCGGATCGATCCGGTAGGCGTATACCCCGTTGTTTGTACACCCTGACCGTGTTGAGTCTCTCCTTCGCGAATCCTTCGGAGGGCTGTCCTTGCTGTGCTGGACAGGACATTCCGGCGATAGAATGGGATTTACAGATGAACCAAAGCCCTTCTACAGCGCTGTTTCTGAAACGCGTATGGCAAATCGGAGTGACGATGAGAAGTGGCGTTGTATGACGAATGAGAAGTTCCCTGTGGGTTTCGTGGTAGTAATCCAAGCACCAGTTCAGCAGTAGTTGACACCCATTGTGAGATGCACACACTCGTGCAGGTGTCACTCAATATTTAACCAGCGAGCTGACAAGATAAGTATTACTACTGTCAAATAGTTGGTAGCACAAAATCTCAACCGCGCATTTCCATTTGGGCTGGGGAAGGTCGTTGCGGGCGGGTCTACCCCACGCGGCTCGCCTTTCCAGGCGTGCTTATCGGGCGAAGCGCCTATCGAAGCAAGCATTAACGACGTTTGTTATAATATATAAGAGCAGCAGCTTTGGCTGCATCAGGCATCAGAAATCTCGCGGGTTTTTACGGATCAACCCCTCCTTCTGTTCTTGCGCTCGCTTGATTGTGTCGAGCAGTTTTCTTCCCCGGAGCGCCACAGCTCAGTGATCCCTGAGAACATGCTTGCTCCGCACCCGACATGGCAGGATATCGCAGCCGAGAAAAAGCAGACCATCGACGACAAGATCCCGCCAGAATGGCGCGTCACCAAAGAGCAATTGGAGAATAAGAAAGTCGTCGATCTTCCCAGAACATGCGGGTTGATGACAGACCGGGAGCTGTCCATCACTGAACTCAGCGCGGTGGAAATACTGGCTGCGATACAGACGCAAAAGTTGACGGCGGTGGAAACCACAGCAGCTTTCTGCAAGAGGGCAGCAATTGCGCATCAAGCTGTAAGATAATGCAAAGAAAGCACCCATTTCATAGCATCCCTCTCTGCACAGAAGAACGCCATCCACGCGGAATGGGACAAATGTATTAATGAATTTCTGTGAATATTTCGACAGACGAATTGCCTTTCTGAAATTCTATTCAAAGAAGCCCTCCAGCAAGCAGCCAAACTAGATGAATACATGCTCGTACACGGCAAGCCAATGGGCATCCTGCACGGCCTGCCGATATCCGTCAAGGAACATATTAAACTGAAAGATACACCCGCGACTTCGGCTTTAATTGCTTGGGCAAACGACGCCAGTGACGAGGACGCATTGATTGTGAAAACCTTCCGAGAACAAGGCGCCGTGTTTCACGTCAAAACCACAAATCCGCAGACATTAATGGCTCTCGAAACTGTTTCGAATTTGTTCGGGCGCACGACAAACCCACATAACACAAACCTTACTTGCGGTGGAAGCACAGGCGGCGAAGGGGCTCTTCTGGCAATGGGCGGAAGCCCCCTAGGCATTGGGACTGATATCGGCGGCTCAATTCGCGTACCCAGCGCGTTTTGTGGAGTTTATGGCTTCAAGCCCACCATTAGCAGACTGCCGCACAGCGGGCTTTCTGGCCTCAGCGATGGCATGCAAAATCTCGTCGGGGTCGTAGGGCCGCTAGCTCGGTGTATCGAAGATTTAGAGCTGTTTTGCGTAGCTGGGTTGAATCAGGAGCCATGGAAGTACGAGCCTTCGCTCATCGAAATGCCTTGGCGACCGAATACTACCACGCCGCAGAAATTAAAAATCGGAGTCATCTGGTGCGATGGAGTGGTACAACCTCATCCTCCAATTTTGCGCGCTTTAAAGCACTTAGTCTCCGCCCTGGAAGATGATGGTCATAATGTTATCGACTGGGATACAAGTTTGCACAAGGAAATCTACGACATCACCAACGAGATTTATTTCCTCGACGGTGGTGCGGAATATCACCAGCGACTAGAGGAGGGTAAAGAGCCAGCTGTGTCAATCGTGAAGTGGCTCTTGGACGAAAAGGCCGTGAGAAGCTACACTGTCGAGGATACTTGGAATGTAAGTATTTCATATTCTGTGCCTTTCTCATTAACTCCCCGTGGTACTTATTTGTGAATATTGTTGACGCCCTTTGTCATAAATAACAGGTAAATTCCAGGCTTGATAGACTTCGCACGTTATACGCCCATCAATGGAATACTTATGATATTGACGCCATTATTTGCCCAGCAAATGCATCCGTTGCATCCGCTCACGATGAATCTCGGTATTGGGGATATACCTGTGTATTCAATGCGCTGGACTTTCCAGCTGCGATTATTCCTGTTGGCACAGTCGAGAAGACAGACACTTGGTCTCAGTTTCCTCCCATGTCTGCTTCGTCTCTGAATCCTAAAGATGAGTGGTACAGGAGTCTGTACGATGATGGAAAAGGTCCACTGCGCTATGAGGGAGCGCCTGTCTCGATCCAGATCACTGGTAGAAGATTTCATGACGAGGAAGTGTTACGCATAACAAGTCGCATTCAGAACCTATTGCTGAAAAAAGCAGCTATCGGTCTCGTAGACCAGCCTATAAAGTCAAGACAGACTTAGGGGTTAATCCCGTTGATATTGTTCATATATACATATTATAATTCTTAGACTACAGCTGTATACCCAAAAGTTCACATGATCAGCATGGACCGGCAGAATAAATAATTACCATCTTCCCCCGACAGCTATGTACTCTCACACGAGGAGACATGTGCCTATATCGGCCATTGCATGTCTCCAGTCAACCTCATAACTCGAATACTCGTTCCTTTTCTCCCAACACCATCTCAAAATGTCTAACAGAGTGGTACAATTACCAAAGTCGCGTGGGGTATCATTCAATGCGGATCTTATGGTTGCCTCGTAGAACTGCTGCTGCTCATCTTGAGCCATTGAGCCTGAAATGCAGATGGGCCAAATGAGACCGCGTACATCCTGTGAGTTGCGTATGCTCTTGATTGCTGCCATGTTCTGCTCTATGGCATCGTGTATGGTGTGACCGCCCGATCCGTTTCCGGGGAATATGGCACCCAGTTGAACGAGAGCCGCTGTAGCGAAAACACGAGTAACATCTCGAACTTTCTCCATGTGCTCCAGCGGTGCTAGCTTGGACGTACTGGGAGATAATGGAACTTCATCTTCGAGGATTTCCAACTCCCGCTTTAAGGATTGTTCGATCGCACGACGCTCGATCAAGATACTTGGTTCGATACGCGAATGGACAAGGATATTGTCTGCGCTCAAGGAAGCTATGTCTCCAATGGCTCGCATGACATTATTCCGAACTCCCATGGTGGTTGACATATCGACGATGTTTGCATCGAGAAGTGACCGGTAAGGCATCCTCGGTGCACAGTTGGTTGAAGCGCAAGAGAGAAGGTCAAACCACAGGATCACTGTAATGAGGAATGACAGCGCCGTCCCTTGCCAGGCTAAGGACTCCCCCAGACTATTACTGCTCTGCCTAGTTTCACGCAGGAGCTCAATGACGGAAGAAGCATGTCCACCGAGTAGGATAGAGATCAGTGCATTTAGATGCAATTGCCAATCACTGGTCCCACCTTGGAAAAGCTGTAAATCAATCGGTTAGCAGGGCCGTATCATCGCAAGTAGCCAACTCAATATACTCAAAAGAATCGGATATAAATCAAAGGAATAAATTTACCTCAAAACTTATCAATGATACACCGCATGAAAGAACTTCAATCTTTCTGCTTCTCTCATCGGTGTCATTGTTTTCTTGTATACGTTGTAGAAATTGCCGTAGATCTGTCAGGGCTTGCGCATGATAATTGGCCAATTCAGTATAGCTGTTTCTAAACTCAACTGACATTCGAATTGACTGATGAAGGGCACTCAAACTGAGAGCCGCATGATATAGGGGACCGGATTGGACTATTAGCCAAAGCAGCCATCCACGGCCTTTGGCGTCTGGAGCATGAAATCGGAACTGCAATGGGAAGACAGCATCCATATAGTGCATAATAAGCTCTGCTTCTCGGTAGCTCGTCAGACGCTCAGAAACCATAGACGAGGTGGCAGCAAGAGCAGAAAACGGCGGTTTTGTCAGGTTGGTATTCAACGCAAACGAGCCATGTATGACTCCAGCGACATTGCCGTGCCGCGCAGAGTCGCCTGCATACGACTGTATGTTGCGAGGGCTTCTCCTCTTTCTGTTTTTCCGGAGATTATCAGCAATCTGGTTTTTCAGATCTCTGGCAATGCGTTTCTCCTGCTCGCCGCCATCCAGCCAACCGGGTTTGCTGCCGTAGCCATGGCAGGTGATGTTCCGGGACGTGCATGTGGTGCACACAGGCTTTGTTTCATCGCATTTTTTGCGCCTGATCCTACAGCTCCAGCAGCCATGATTGCTTCTCAGCATGATTAGTATATGGGTTATCCATCTGTTTCCATGGGAGACGCGAAGTTGTCGCCGGGCAGAGCCGACACGCCGAAGTCAAAGGGCCGTTCAGCCCGCCCGCTGTGTGCGGTACAGTACTTCACCGCCTCCCGCACGCTACCACCTCTCGCACGTAGTGATGGGTCATGTCAGACCCACACCTCTGACTGACAGAGGTTTTTGTCAGGCCTGATGAGGTTTTCTATTATATAATAAATAGTCTAATTTAGTAGATAAACTAGTATTATTTTGTATAGATAAAAAATTTAAATTTAATTTATTAGAATACTTAATTATCTAATTAATATGCATTAATTTATATATAAAATAATAGAATTTAATATATTTTAATAAAAATATATTAAATCTAAATAGAAAATAGATACTGATTTTTTTTTATTATATTTTTGAATGATTTGAGTTTTGATTAATGGTATTAGATAGGCTATAAGACCTTGCTGTTTAAGTTTATAGGCTATATTCTAACACTAAGTGCTTAGATTATTAGTAAGGCACTCTGCGCTATAAGAGCTAAATTGAGGTTATTTATAGTTAAATAATCCCTATTATTAATCTTATAGTCTAAGATTTTTGATATAAAGTTCTAAATCTTTATAAGACTGTTCTTTGTTTTTAATTATATAATCTTCTTATTCTTTTCTAGTTTTTCTTGTAGTGCTTTAATGTTTATATATATAAATGTTACTATATTTATATTTACTTAGGTTATCTGATTTTGATATATTAATAATTAATAATTATATGTTAAGAAAGAGTGCTTTAATAGTGCAGAGATGGTAATTATATGGAAAAGATATAAAGTAAAGCTGGCTAATTTATTTATAAGATTAGAACTTAATTTCTAATATAAAATATTAGTATTCTAATAAGAAGTAGTTTTTAATTATTTATAATTATTTTTTAAAAGAATTTGGGATTTTCTTTATAATCTTAATAACTAGTATTATAAAAATTGCTAGTTATAGTATAGTATTAAGAAAAGTTAAAAATTATAAGATTAAAATTATCTATATAATGCTGCTTAATTAATTGGTATATAATTTTTTAGTAATAGTTTATTATAGGAATCTTTAGAGTATAGGGATTAAGATAATATACTGCTTAGTAAATATTTTATATCTAGTATTCTATTTAATTAGAAAAACTTGAAGTTAAATATATATATATATCTATATTAAAAATCTTATTATTTTAGAATTTATAGAGGTAAATTTTTAGATTAAGCTATTATTATATTATTAATCTAGTATGAGAAGATATACTTTCTGAAGCTTTTATTATATTATGAATTGGTTTTATAAGATTAATTAAATAGTTAATTATTTCTTAAAAAGATATTAAGATAAGGATATTTTTAAGATTAATTTTGCAGCTTTTATCCCTTATATATTATATAAGTAAGGATTGATTTTTTTTAAGACTTTTGAGTATGTTAAACTAACTTCTCTAATAAGTAATAATTAATCTTAATAAGGCATGTTTCTTCTCTTTATCTTGTATTTAAATATGTTGTAGTTTTGTGTGACGGGGGTTGCAAGAACGTAGCTGGGATTCGGCTTCGGCCTAGGAATAGATTCGAATATATAATATATATATATATATGCTCAGCAGCTAATTGCTGCTTTATGAAGGCCTAAGGCCATCTATAATTATAAGATGATATATGCTAAGCCACTAGTCTAATTAATGGTGGGAAGCTAGGTAAAGTTATATATCTATTATATTTTAAAGTTATTCTTAACTCTGTTTAAGATTTTATCTTATAGCTATCTTCCTCTTTATAAGAATATATCTCTAAGTCTAAAATTTTATAGGCTTATAAGATTTAGTGTATAGAATTAGTAGTTTAAGTTTTATAATAAAATCCTTATTTTTAATAGAGAAATTAAAAATAGATAATAAATATTAGATAGAGGGTTAAATATGTAAGAAATAATTAAGATTAATATTAATAGTAAATATATATAAATCTTTATCTTTTTTATTTTAATTTTCTTTTTTTTTTTTTTTTTTTTTTTTTTTTTTTTTTTTTTTTTTTTCTTAATAATAAGTGTTATCTTAATACTATGCTTTTTTATTAAAATTTCATTAAATATAGATTTAGTATATTTTATATTATTAATTTCTT